TCTATAAATTAAACAATAATTCTAATATGAATATCATAAACAGACAGCAATTTCAACAATTGTTGTAATCCAAGCCTCACCCGGTTGTCGTCGGGGAACCTAAACATAATCTAGCGGTTGGGACTTGCGCCCGGACGATTCTCATCCGAATGGTGGCACTTTGTGTCACTGTGTGTTTATAGCTGGTTGTGCGGTCCTGTTGGGGTTGAACGTCAGTCATTCTGTCATTTCAACAACTGACATCGAACTGTTACCGGTTACAGATTTATTGAAGTTAAGCATAACTTCTGGAACAGACTATAGAATATTAGTCTCCAACCTTTGTCAGGTGGCGCCTTCCTTCAGTATATGGCACACACCCCCCCCCCCCCCCCCCACTTTGAACATAACAAAATGTGAATAAAAAGAGGAGGACAACGAAAAAATAACAATACTGTTTGCTAACAAGAACTGTGAAAAAAACATAAATCAAAGTGTCAAATAACAAACTAAACTATCACCAACACGTGAAATCTAGTGTCCAAATATTAATGTAATGGTTCACACTCGTTTGTTTTGATGATATCGACTATTATTGGTCTGAATGTTGGACAAGGTGATCATTCTTTACATCAAGCGAGCAACAATGTTTGTTTTCATTGCCGGTAAAGCTGAAAATTCGGATTGACCAAAGTATTTGTAGGAAGATGGCAAGAGAACATTTAGAATTAATTTGGACTTATTAGATTACATTGCAAGATACTACACCCCAAAAATACCCACGCCTAAATATGCGAAGTCGTCTTTATCTTTTGAATTGTACTTTGCCTCACTTACTGCTTCTTGAATATACTGTGAACGTATATAAATGTAAAAAATGAAATGATTTCTGGTTAACATCCAAGACCAGACATCAAATGATAGATCGTGGAAACAGATTGTTTTCCCTACCAGAATGTCTAAATGTGAATGAATGTTAACTGCAAGTTTACTTTTGTCTAGCCGTTTTTATTTTTCAACAGCTCATTGGGACCACACAAAGATGAGAAATTCTTGGATTCAGTTCGTCGTTGCCATGACCTAACCCCCTCCCCCTCCCAAATTCCAGAACGAAAGCCCTGATCACATCCGTATTCAATACTTTAAAAAATAAACACGTCAGATATGCCCATTAAAATACAACTGAGTTTTTAGTAGATAAAATATATATATATATATATATATATATATATATATATATATATATATATATATATATATACACACACACACACACACACACACACACATACACACACACACACACACACTAATGAGAAATAATTTGACCTCAGCATTCATCTACTGCAGTCAAAAAAGAATATTTTCCTTTGAAAATCAGCAGCCATCAGTTTGAGAAACTGACCATTATGTATGGTGCCTTCGCTGGTCACACATGTTAAGAATATTCTGAGTGACCTATGGTAACATTAGCTCTTACAATGCTATTGTCCAGAGAGTACCACACAACTTTCGTCTTTTCTGAGTTTATGACCGCACCCATTTCTGCACACCAGTCAGTCACTTTGCCTACATTTGCATTTAGGTCTTGGGCTATCCGTTGTCTATTACTCTGTTGCCTCTATGCAAGAACCTCATTGGCATATGTTGAACGTATGACATCGTTTGTTAAACATATTTTCGTTCTTTTAAAGTATGTGAGTTTCACTTTTGTCGTTTTTTTAAATTCATGTCTCATTCCTTATCATCATTATTACTTTAAACGAAACCGATGGGCCTTAGTCCAAGGAGCGCCCCGGACCCAATTAATTTTTTTTTTGTGGTTGGGGAGGGGAGCTCGGCTTGAGCTGGCGTGGAAAAAAAGGAGGTAGGTTGTTCTTGGATACCCACTCTCAAAGATTTAGTAAGGGCCTACCGACGGTCCACTGTAACGATGTATTGAAATTATCCTAAACTATTTCAGTCATATGTAATTCTTAATTCAACACTTTTTTAAAAAGTTGTTGTACCTCACAGTAGCAATGTTTTAGTCTAACCTTATTGAAAAGTACAGCATTGGAACAGAAAAGTTTAAATTAATAATAAAGTTAGAATGGGTTATCAAAATAGATGATTAGGACCTAGAGAGCACAGAAATGTGGTTCATATAATTATAAACCAATGAATGCGCGATGAGTTCCCTGGTACGGAAAGAGTTAAAGCTATTTGTTTTTTAGGTTTTATATTATTTGCAGCTTATTATTGTATTGGTTTACTGTTCAGCACAAAACTGTTGTTGTTCTTGTAATTATTAGGCAAATTTACGTCCAGCAGTTTGCCATTTCTTTCTGTACGGTCGGCTTTCTTGATACCATTGTCGACACCAACGCAAGGCGCATCCCCCGCAGCTGGGATCGAACCAAGCATCCCGGCATTACGAAGCGTTCGCATCGACTTAGCCACAGAGCCGACCTGATGGTGATGACGACAATATAATAATGATAATGACGAATAATGATAATTATACTGATGATGATGATGATGATGATTAGAATTTCAGCTTTGAAGCGCGTCCGCCGCCATCACCCTCCCCTTTTTTTTCACGATCATGCTGTTGACGTGAAAGGTTGGTAATGTGTATCGTTCCATGGTACGACTTCTCCATTCAGTGGTAGCTCAAGTGTGGAAATACATTACCAGCCTTCTGTACATACATTGGTTCGCAATGTGAACTATGTAATCGAGAGAGCCCTTGCTGATATATGAATATGATTGAGTTGAAAACACCTTCATGTGCAGCTAGAGGAAATAATAAACACAAATCTCCGGTATGTACTTTACTAACTCGCCCGCCCGCCCGCCCGCCCGCCACCCCCCCCCCCCCCCCCAAAAGTCTCTCAGTATATACAAATTTATAGAAGCAAGTCGAATAGAGCGCTAGGCTGATACATATTTCTAAATTAGAAAAGTTGAACGAGTGCGCGCGCGCACACACACGCACACACACGCACACACACACACACCATCTTTCAGGTAGTTTCGTCGCCCAGCTTCTGAGTTGAGTGCATGGCGTGATACTGTGAGCTGCTTTTGTTTTTCGTTGGCACAGGAGCGGAGCAACTGTGGGGTGACCCGTTTGCTATGAAGCTGAAACTAGGATTACCAGATTACACACACACACACAGATGAAGATGTATGGTCGGATGCGACTTTTGTATTCACACATTTGGACAGGGTGACCATAATATTGGAGCTGAAACTCGACAACCCATAATATTTTGGCCTGGAAACAGGACTTGCCAAATGTTCCAACACAAACCCATACTTATCTCCTTTTACGACACGATCGTCAGTTTTAAAAAACGGGCCCCTACGCCCACACGAAGAAAACGAAAGTTCGGTTTCCGAACATATAGGAACGAAATGAGTTCGAAAACAGAGATTCCACAGTAGTACTATAGTTCGCTGAAAGTTCTCTAAGCGCTGCAACTCTCTGCTTGTCCCCGCCTTGAATCCATATCAATAACGGGTTTGATGACAAACGTTCTGCACCGCCAGCTAAAGTCCCACCAGCAATAGATTTGCACAGTTCGCATTCTGCTCTTGAGACGAGCCTATTACCCGGAGAAAGGTATGTAAGCTTGGCCCTGGAATTATATGTTAGTTGCGCAACTGTGACTGATGCTGCAACTTTTCTCGGTCACTTGATTCAAGAACCATGTCTAAGGTTTTGATGCCGAGGTAAGGGATAACTTAGTGATGTCCTAATGCCTGTCTACATTATTAACAATGCTCAGTATGTGGCCTTATGTACAAGTGTGTAAAGCCTTTGCATTAACGAATCTTTGAAAAACATATCTTAGTTTATATTGGTAATGCTTGGTTGGATGTAGCAAGTAAAGTCATCAGTCGTTTGCCACTTTCAAAGCGGTTTAGGTTTAGGACAGAGCTGTATGGGGGCAACTAAGGCAGTAACTAATAAACTACAAACATTAATTGACTGGTGCCTGTGCAGAATAGAGGGAAAATAAATGGTTTATTATAATCACTAATCAATTTTCAATGAATTAAGAAGTTGGGATGAAAAGATGCAGGCACTGGACACACGCTGACAGCTTATAAGAACAATTCAACTAGGAGGACTTTGCACTAGAATCCACGGGGGCATAGACATAAAGGCACACTAAAGGCATATAAAGAAAGGATCTAGAGGGTGAGGTTAAACAGATGAGGAGGATATGGGGAGAGCTACAAGCAATAGCAAAGGATAGGCCAACTTGGTGTAACTTCGTTGAGGGCATTTGCTCAGTTAGGCATTGAAGGGGAGGAGGGGAGGGATACCGAGTACAGGTAAGAAGAGGACGGGAGTTTCATGAGCCTGATGATTGAGGATCAGTCGGCTCATGCAGTGGATTAGAACGCATGTTGTGATTACCCCTCCTCTCCCCCCCCCCCCTCCTGTTGTTTTCTTCCATCAGGAAAAAACCCATTACGCTTTAGGAATTCGAACACAGGTTCTCACTTGAAAGCACAGAATTATAACCTCTTGCCAGTGTCCCTTTGATGTATCTTAAGTTATACATACAATGTAAACAACAGGGTACTGTAGATTACAATATTTTCATGTGTTCAGTTAGAATGGGTGGTGTAGTGGCTGGCTGCTTGTCTGTCAGAGCGAAAGTCTTCAGTTTGAATGCACATAAAGACAAAATGACCTGGCCTGTTTGACGCTAGCTAAAACTGGTACATTGGAATTACTAGGAAGTAAAGGCGGACGACATCATCCCTCACGTGCTGACTCGCCTATAGGAAATATAAGTGTAATAAACATACCAGATGTGCCAGTGACACGACGAGATCCTTTGTTTACTTAAGTTGACATTTGTGTGTGGATGTGTTCGTGTGAGTGATGATATAAGTAACCGAAAATGCCTGGAAAAAGTAAAATAAAATAAAAGTAAACCAAATCCAAAAATTCTACATATTTAAAGTGGTCATATTCTAACAATCTGATTAATCTTCTTATATATGTCTATCATCAGGCCTGGCGATGCCTTCCAGATCCAGTTTTCCATTAACGGAGAGAAGCATGTGGGTAAGAGATTCCAGTACTTGAAGTTTCATTTGATATCAAAGCAACTAATCCCACAGAGATACCTTACTGATGACACGAGGAAGTTATTGTTTATTTTCATGACGTTTTCAGTCAAATCCATTTGTTGCACACAACCGCGCTGTTACTTTAACTCACTCAGTACCAAAAATGTACTATGCGTTTGTTGGTTATTTTCAGAATGACATGGCTGTAAACTCTCTGTAGTCCATTTATGTGTTACGTTAACTCCTGACGTCCAATTTGTTACTTCAACAATTCATGTCTCATAATGTAATTATCTACTCTACATTCAAACCTATATTAGTTTATAGTAACAACTGCACGGCAGAGAATAAGTTAAAGTAACACTAACTGGTGCTGAAAGAATTTAATCTTTCTTTTATTTTTTTTCTTTTAGATTTAACTTTTTAATCAGAACTGTCTGTCGCTATCACACCAACATCGTCATCATCATCACCACACAGAACTTTTACATGAAATGACACAAAGCCTTCAAAAATCGGTTATCTCTGTTTTCCCTAACCTGTCTTTTAATAAGTCATCCAGGTTGACAGAAAATGTATGTTTAAAAAAATATATTTCTGATGTTTGTTATAAGTTGTGTTCGGCCTTCAACCTCCTTAAAACATTTGGTTTTCTCGTTTTAGCTGTGCCTGCGACAATATAAGTGTAGAAAGTACCAGCGAAAAACATACGAGCAGATCAAAGAAAAGCTGCATATAATCACCAGATACTTGTGATACAAAAACTATGTGAAAGCATGAGAAGTCACGTTCCTTCTGCGGTTCTGATGTTTGTCACATTTATACAAGCTGGGGCTGCGTGGTCTCAAGGCATGACGTTCGCCTCGAGTGCTGGAGGTCCCGGGTTCAAGCCCCGGTGAAGGCTGAGATTTTGTCACATGGACTTCTAGTAATTTCCATTGGTCTCTGGGTAGTGAGATCTGTGTGTATTGTTGCACACGTAAATAAACCCCTTAGCCGTTGGAAATCTAAAAAAGAGTAGCCTAACAGAGCTGTCCGGTAAAATTTGAAGTTAAAAATCACCTCAAAGTATTTCAGGATCCTCGCCGGTACTATGGAGTTCGTGAACTGCGCTAAGATTCTTTAGATTCATGTTTGAGTCAGAAGTAGAACAGAGCACTTATATTTTTACTACCCTTGTGTCATGATGTTGGTCCGTCGTCTAAACATAGAACAATTTATACAAGCTGTACCTTTTTCCTACTTCAAATATTTGTCATCTGTGTAAGGTTAATCAGTACGAAAACTCCTCAGATAATTTCACACACACATACACACACAGAGACATACGCATACACGCACGCATACACGCACGCACATACATTCACTCACACGCGCACACACACACTAAAGTCTTTTGTTCAAAGTCAAATCGCGTATAACTCTAAAATGTGTGCTCCTCATTACCGATTGGCAGAAGTGATCATTCCCCTCCACGATCTGCGATATTATCATGTATCAGTTCGTGTGCTGACACCCCGCCATGCCATGTCCAAAGACTATCAGGAATTGTCCCGCTTTGTCCCTCTAAACCCCAAAAGAAGTAATAATTGAGGCTAATCGGGCATGTGAGGCCAAACTCATATTTTTTTAGTATACCACCATTGGTGATACGGTCAACATCACGTTGGCTGCCTTTATTTCTTAGGACTTTATCCAGTACCCATTTAAGTCTGGGTTTACCTTGGAGCCAAAGCTATGCTAAATGTAACTATAGAACTCTTTCATCCCGCACAAATCACTTGTAAACAAGACCGGCTCCAGCTGTCAGATGTTGAATTAGATTTAAAGGATTTGCATCTATTTGATTCTCATCTTTCCCTGAGAACCATCATGGGGATACCATGAACAAACTCACTGCCTCTTCAACAGGCATGGCGTAGGGGTCGACTAACTGGGAGCTCCCTTCGAAGTTAGGGTGCATCAGCCCAAGTGGCAAGAAAAAGCCAACTGCACACACATAAGCCAGTAACACGCATGTACACGCAAAATTCAGGCCCTGGCACAAAGTCAAATAGACGAACAACCAGGACTTTCCACCCGAGCTTACAGCCGGTAAACGTAGAAGAAGAAGAAAGGAAAAAGAAGAAAAAGTAGAAGAAGAAGAAGAAGAAGAAGAAGAAGAAGAAGAAGAAGAAGAAGAAGAAGAAGAAGAAGAAGAAGAAGAAGAAGAAGAAGAAGAAGAAGAAAGAAGAAGAAGAAGAAGAAGAAGAAGAAGAAGAAGAAGAAGAAGAAGAAGAAGAAGAAGAAGAAGAAGAATCGCATCCTTGTGACAGCTAACGGTTTGCCTTGATTTCAGTATACGAAAGCTACCCTGCCACCACGACTCTCAATGATTACATCAGAGATGTGGCCGGACTCAAGGGGACTAAAGTCATGTGTCGAGAAGCCGGGTGCGGCTGCTGTGCTGTGGCTGTCACCCACGCCTCTGGTGGCGACAAGGTGGAGACGATGAGCATCAATTCGGTGAGAACACTTCACAAGAACGGGTTATCAGTTGACGTTTTATGATTCAGAAAATAGTTATACTTACTCTTATAGGTTGGGCCAAACTAAAATAAGCAAGCCTAACTTTTTTTTTTTTCAGTTTCAAAACAAGGCGTGATGTATGATGGACTCTTCATTATGAAACCCAACAAAGTGTAATGCGTTGTTTTATATTTTACATTTGGTCAGAGTAAACTAAAGAAACCTGGCTCCCCTCCCCCCCCCCCCCAACTGAACACTTCTGCTGTGTGTGTACTGTGTTGAAAAGTTCTATATTTGTGACATTTTCTTAGTGATGAGTTCACCTTCTAGATGTCTCCTGCAAAATCTACTGGGACTGGAAGAGCTGAAGAAGTGTGGTTCGCATCTGTCCGTCTGCCTGACTGTCTCTTTGTCTGCTTAACTGATTCAACTGTTTATTCATTTTCTGCAGAAAATAAACAAGTGAAATACTTCAGCCACGTTAGCGAAAATGTATTTTTTTTTAAATCACACTGAAAAGAAAAGATGAATAAAATATATACATCAAAGCGAGCAGGATGCTTATGTCAAAAAATGGACACACTGCAGTAATAATTATTACTATCAAATACTTAAAAAGCGAGCCGCCATGGTGTAGCGGCTAGACACTCGTCTGCTGATCGGAAGGTGGTGGTTCAGATCCTGGTGGTACCAGACTTTTTTTTTAAATGACCTTGACTCCCGGGTTGACACAGCCTTGATTGATTCCCAGATAGGCTCCTGGAAGTAAAGGCGGCGGGCATGATGTTGACCACATCACCCACCAAGTGTCAATTCTTCTTCCGCCTCTTCTTCTTCTTCAACATTCCGAGCCCTTGAGGTCCATTGCTGCAAATATCACCCGTCCCCACTCATCTCTTTTGTTGACCTTCTCTTTCCAGTTGGTAACACTAAGTGTTTGCAGGTCTGTCTAGACATTTTCTCTTCACCGTTTTCTTGGTCTGTCTCGTGGTCTACGACCTGTTATCTCCATTGTATATACAGTTTTTAACTCTCTGTCATCTGACATTATCTCAATATGCCTCAGCCATTTCAACCTATTAGCTCTCACAATGCCATTAACCAATGGTGATTAAACAGATTATGAATTTCGTTGTTGCTTCTCACTCTCCATTTCTCCCTGTTTACATTTTTGACAGGTCCACAGATTTTTCGTAATACTCTGTTTTCGAAAACCTGTAATAAGCCTTTACCTCTATCTAGTCTTATATGCACAATAAACTTGAAGGCGTGAAAGGGGTCCTTTACTTTTACTTTACTTACACTTAAACAAGGCTTAGTCCCCCCCCCCGCCTCCTGGTGCTCCCACCCTTAGATATATGGGGCTTCACAAGGCTTCTTTGCGTCGGCGCTTCTAATTCTCATGTGTCAGTAACTGATTGATTGATTTTTATCAGAGTTGTCTATCTTTACAAGCAATAGTAAGTCACAGAGAGGCCGATCTGTTAGAAATACCTCCAGGTGAGAACAATTCAAACTTGAAGGTTTTGTCTTTTCACAACTGTGTACTGATTTATTATTACTTCACGCAAAATCATGCGTATATACTCTTTAATTATTTATACGTACTGGAATTCAAAGAATTGTTTTTAGAATAAACATTTTCCAGATCACTTTAAATATTCCCAAAGTAAGACATCTAATCTGATTGCACAGAATGATTATTATTTATATTATTACACTTTAAAAAAAACTGAAACACCTTAAAAGTCAGACGCAATTTTTTTTTTTTCAAAAAGCTTCCATCCTGGCTGTTGCGGCATACTAATATAACCCAACCTATGGGTTGAACAGGGTTTCTGAGACAGGTTCCGGGACCTGTCCTCATCCAAATTGTAGCGCTTTGTGTAACCGGGTGTCTATCACTTGGCGTGATGTCCTGGTGGGTGGAACGTCATCATCATTATCCTCCTTTTTCAAAAGTAGACGTACAAACCAGTAGACTTAATTAACAAGCTATACTCCAGCAGACTGTTATAATGAATACATCTATGCAAGATTAAAACAACAAGTATAATTGGTATGATTAAATATCCAACATTGAAATAGGAAAAAAACTATGTATTACATTTATTATTTATAACCAGACAGGTTGTGAACAGGATATAGATGTATAATTAATTACTATTACTGCTACTACTAGTGTTATTCAAAATTAATAATATGCATTTTATTATAGAAACATAGCATGCTTTGTTGTTAAAATTCATTTGCTGAATGAAAGATGGGTGTATGGAAGGGCAGAATGTAAGACGGGCCTATGTGCCCAATTTGTAACCCTTTGAAAAAAAATTGATCATTAGTTCGTTGGTTTTTACTACTACTACAACTGCTACTGCTGCTACTAGATTGCTCAAACTATAACAACTACACAAACTACTACTACTGCTACCACCACCACCATAACCACTACTACTGATAATTGTTTTTAAAAACTGTTAATACATCTGTAAAAATAAGTTCGAGAAATCACACTGATTGACGCTTGTATTGACGAGTATCATTGTAGATAACAGTAATTATACAAGTTAGCAGTACTGATGGTAGCAAAGTCCTGTGTTTAACAGTATCAAGTTGCCCAAATACTGGTATAAAATATGTAGCTACATAGTCTACAGTATGAAACACTTCTAGTTTGAAACCCAGATTTAACTCTTATATTTAAAACACACACTCACCCACCACCCACCCACATCCCCCCCCACACACACACACACATATATTTACTTATATATACATATATAAGTACTGTACACATTCAAGATAGCATACATTGTATTTACTATAACAACATAACTGTATAAGACTGACTATTTTGATTTTCAGTTTAGTTTCTACACAAAACATTCTAAATTTCACAAGCATAATGATATGACCTAATTATTCTTATTATTTTGAAAATACTTTACCATTTTTGTAATCAGCATGTTTAAGGTATCTATTCTGTATACATGTTGTACTAACTGATTTCCTTATTGCTCATCATAATAGCAGTAATGATGATACCTATTTTGGTAAAACATAATGGAGGTGTATTTTCTTCTTTAGTGCATAACTCCCTTGTACAGCGTAGATGGCTGGCAGATTACTACAACAGAAGGTATAGGAAATCAGAAAGATGGCTTTCATCCAATCCAAAAACAAGTGGCCAAACATAATGCCACCCAGTGTGGATACTGCACACCTGGCTTTGTCATGTCTATGTATGGGTAAGTCTAGCTAGTTTGTTAGTTAGATTACTGATCATCCTGATTTGACATCAAACTACTGAAGTCCATAAGTGTTCATATATACTCCTCTGTAAATCTTGCAGTGTGTAGCGGCTGATGACACCAGTTCTGTGTTACTTCCTTCTTCTTCTTTGACTTCCTGCATAGTGCTCTTTTTTGACCTGACGCATTTTTACTTTATGGTTCTTGCAGTTTGATCAAAGTTTTAGATTTACAGTATGTATAACTTTACAGTGGGTCACATACTCATGCTTTAATTCCTCATTCATTATTTTCAGTCTCTATGTAAAGTAACTTGTAAATCTTGTTTTCTCTTCAGTTTCTTATTGAATACATGATATCTTTACTAGAATGCTACAGTGTGTCTTTAAGGTTTTACTTTTCAGTTTCTTATTGAATACATGATATCTTTACTAGAATGCTACAGTGTGTCTTTAAGGTTTTACTTTTCAGTTTCTTATTGAATACATGATATCTTTACTAGAATGCTACAGTGTGTCTTTTAGGTTTTACTTTACAGTTTCTTATTGAATACATGATATCTTTACTAGAATGCTACAGTGTGTCTTTAAGGGGTTACTTTACAGTTTCTTAATGAACACATGATATCTTTACTAGAATGCTACAGTGTGTCTTTAAGGTTTTACTTTACAGTTTCTTATTAAATACATGATATCTTTACTAGAATGCTACAGTGTGTCTTTAAGGGGTTACTTTACAGTTTCTTAATGAACACATGATATCTTTACTAGAATGCTACAGTCTGTCTTTAAGGTTTTACTTTACAGTTTCTTATTGAATACATGATATCCTTGCTAGAATGCTACAGTGTGTCCTTAATGTTTTACTTTACAGTTTCTTATTGAATATATGATATCTTTACTAGAATGCTACAGTGTGTCTTTAAGGGGTTACTTTACAGTTTCTTAATGAATGCATGATATCTTTACTAGAATGCTACAGTGTGTCTTTAATGTTTTACTTTACAGTTTCTTATTGAATACATATCTTTTCTAGAATGCTACAGTGTGTCTTTAAGGATTTACTTTACAGTTTCTTAATGAATACATGATATCTTTACTAGAATTCTACAGTGTGTCTTTAAGGTTTTACTTTACAGTTTCTTATTGAATACATGATATCTTTACTAGAATGCTACAGTGTGTCTTTAAGGTTTTTACTTTGAGCTAGATTTTCATTCTTTATCTATCGAAACAAGGTAGTTCTGTAAGGTTGTTCATGTTGGCTAAATTTCTAGATTTCAATTATCTGTTTGGACAGTCTTATTAAATCTTGTACAGTTGCAGGCCAGATTTCAATTATTTATCTTGCAAAACTGGGTAGTCTTGTAGGATGGTTCCTAAGAACCAGATTGTCATTTTTGATTTACAAAACTGGTTTGTGGGACTGCTCATATAGGCTAGATTTGCATTCTCTCTCTCTGGCAGATGCTGTACAGTGTTACAAACACTTTCTGCTTATGAGAACACATATGGCAAATACAAGTAACAGTGGAAATAAACTTGTGTAGCAGTATTTGAAGTTTTAAAGTGTATAAGCTTTGATTCTGTAAAAAAAAAAAGGGGGAGGAAAGTGGGGGGGGGGGGGGGCAGTAGGTATAGTAGATAAAATAATGACTTGGTTTGGTGGTTTCGTTGGTCAGTCATCGAACATCTGGATTGCTGATTTTTTAGAAAGTGCAACATTTTATTTTTCAGAGCTATTCAATGCTGAAAAGGATTTGCATTTGTTATGGCAAGACTAGTGTAGGGGCATTTCCTTTTGATCTAACAGTAGTAGTAGCAGCAGTAATTTAAATAATGATATCCTATTAAAATCATCTGGGTTGTAATTGGGATATTTAGAATCCCTTTTTTTTTTTTTTTTTTTTTTTTTAAGTTTCAGCGTTGGATACTCATGTTTATCAGTTATGTTTGGGTAATTAGGATTGCCTAGATTATTTATTAACTGAGTATAGATGGTTAAGTTTAATATAATTTGAGTGTGCTTTTTAAATAAATATGATAATCAAAATCATATTGTGTGATCTATGTTTAGGGATGCTTAAAGTGACTCAGGATTTAACATCCAGTGTTATATCAACAATGACTGTTGCACAACTTTTCTTTCCTTCTATAGGTTAAGAACTCATTGGAAGCCAAGATCAGTTCTGGAAGTTCAGACTGCAGATAAACGTATTAGGGTGTAACTAGATTGTAATTCAGCTCAGCAGACATGAAGTAACTTAAGAGAGAGACATAAACTGAGTAACTAAAAGAGTTAATTGGGAGTGGACCACAAATCAGACCAAGAAGATGGTGGAGATATAATCTACGGGCAGACTCACAAACACTTGGAGCTGCCAGCTGGAAAGAGAAGGCCACTCACAGAGATGACTGGTTGCAGGTGATATCTGCAGCAGTGTATCTCAAGGACTCAGACTGCCATTGCAAAAGAAGTCACATAGAGCATGTGAGATTTAGGGTTATGATGTTTGAGATGTTTTATAATTTCAAAAAACTCAAACCAAATCTCAGAAGGAGTGATGAAAATTCTTAAATAATTATTGAAAATTATGCTTGAACACTTTCCACAGCCTTCTCCACCAGAACCCTAAGCTTACCCAGCAAGAGATTGAAGACTCATTTGATGGCCACATTTGTCGATGCACAGGATACAGATCTATTCTTGACGCCATGAAGACTTTTGGCTCGGATGCTACAGGACCGAATGCAAAGCCAATTGATATTGAGGTACGTATCAAGTGACCAAGTGCTGATTGGTCTAAAAAATATAGGCCTAACCCTATGTTTACAATACACCTGAAGGTGTGGAAAATTATCCTTTACCTTTTATGTGTCAGTTATCAAAAGAGCAAGAGGACGGCCTTGGGAAACAACATTAAAGACACTCTATGCTTTCACGGCATGACAATAGACAGTGGCACCCAAAGTGCACTGGATCGCAAATTATTCCTCCCCACAATGCTTAACAGCAGAAGTGGTTTATGATGATGATGATGATAAAAACAATTAACAATTTCTTCTAGTATGAAGCTCCAGATACAGCTACATCAAGGTCCTCTAGGAGCAAGAGAACAATGTTGAGAACAAATTGACCATAAGTGTCTGGAGGGACAATGGTACAGTCCTGAGAGATCAAGGGGTCTGGCCAAGATACAATCAGACTGGTACTAGAAATATTCTTACTAGAGTTCTACACTGGCTGCTGAAGATGGTAATGGGTGTTTATGGAATGCCCTGAATGCTTTGATGTTGGTTCTAAACTCAACTCATACAGCAACTAAGAAAAGCATATTTTATTATGGAAGAAGCTAACAGTGAATAAAAGAACTTAAAGATATGAGCCATTATTTATTTTCTGATCTTATTTTTTTGTAAATATAACTTTGTGCAGCTCGGAAGTCCAGTTTAACAGATTATAAGCTGCCAAACCAGGGTAACAATGATCTAAAATCATAGGATGTCAGTGACCTTCAGTCCTATACTTGTTGGTCTCCCTATTACTTTTGATGTTTTCATTTTGATATTGTCTATTCCCAATGTTGGCATTGTTGTCTAGAATCATATGCCAAATATATCTTAAGACATAGAGAGGATACTTTTATGCTTTTATTTTTGCTCTAACATGTTTGAAATTGAAATTATATTTAATTTCCTCCTCCGAAAACAGGACCTAAACAAGCATCTGTGCCCAAAAACTGGAGAAAAATGTAAAAAGGACACAAAATCCAACTGCCCAATTACACCCCCTTCTTCTTTGTCCCTTGATCTCAGAGACAGCAAATGGCACAGACCACTTAATCTAAAGGAACTTGGAACCATTTTTACCAAAAACAAGGGCAAATCCATCAGGCTGGTGTTTGGAAATACTTCAACAGGTACACACATTTTTGGTTTCCATTCAGTTTCAAGGTGTGAATGTAATAGCTGTAATTGCCGTTTACGCATTTTACTACAAAAGAAAATGAATGTCTTTTTTAACTATTTATTATTACTTCTTACCATTTAATACAAATAAACCCATCGGTAGGGCTTGTTAAGAGCATATAGTGAGGAAAAATGCACTCATAAAAAAAATTAATGAATGAAAGCTGCCTGTTACCATCATTACATTGCTAGGTGCTCGTATTCTTTCAACAGCAAAGTAACGAGGAGGGAAATACCTCTTCAGTGTAATCATTACCTGCAAACTTTTACATATGTGAATTGTTCATACCTAACTACTCTTTCATTTTTGTATGTTTCTGTAATGTAGAATTTTGTTGACTAAACAGGGACTATAATGATGATTGCCTTTCTCTAACTGACACTTTTTTTATTTTCTCTTTATATATATATATATATATATATATATATATATATATATATAAATAAATATATATATAATGTATGTATATATATATATATATAATATATATATATATATATATATATATATATATATATATATATATATATATATAATGTAATGTATATATATATATATATATATATATATATATATATATATATATATATATATATATATATATATATATATATATATATATATATATATATATATATATTATATATATATATATATATATATATATATATATATATATATATATATATATACACTAGCTGTACCCGGCCACGCGTTGCTGTGGCATAGTTTGGCTAAATGGAAATGAAAGAAAAATAGAAATCGTACGTGTCTAATACAATCATTGTCTGCTCAGATATAGAGATAGTCTTTGATCCCCACCCCCCCCCCCCCCCCCCCCCCACCCCCAACTAAATCCACCTACTACCCTCCCCCTTATCAAATTTATGTCATTACCCCCCTACTGCTTTCTCCCTCTTCGAAATATTTGAAAATATTTTGTTGTTGCTGTAACTGACATTGACATCCCTGTCCATCTGGACTAAAATGGGGAGCAGGAATTGTAATAGGTAGTGAGTGAATGGGGCTAGTGTAATATTTACCACATCATCCTTCAAGTACCAGTACAACTACTAAAATAATGTCACTGCTATCTGTGTTACCATCGGAGTAGACAGAGAGTCGTGAGCCAGAAGATTTGGTTCCGCATGGCTAGTGCTGTCGCCACAGACTGGTCAGGTTAGGATGTATAATTTCACTTGCCGACAGAAGAACGCCATAACCTTACCGGCGGTCTTCACATGAGAGCACTATGGTGTAACAGCCCAACCACAACTATTACTACTGCTGCTACTTTAAGGGGTAAAGCAGTTAGTGTGACTTAAAAAGCTCTCTCAGTAAATAGTTTTTGCCCCCCCCCCCCCCCCCAAAAAAATTCACCGACAAACTCTTTTTCCCTCATTGAAGTAGTTGGGAGAAAAAAAAAAAAAAAAAAAAAAACCTTGAAAAAAAAGCAAAAAAGCAAATGAACACAGCAAAAAAAAAAAAAAAACACCATAATTAGGAAATGAACGCCATTGGTAAAAACAGCACAGCTTAAAAAATTCCAACGCAGATGAAATAACTAAATCTAAATGAAAATAAATGAAAATGTATAAAAATTTCAGCGTAACCATGCAATCGGAAAGTTTAATAATGCAATCATAAGTATGCGAAATGGTCAAATTTAATTATCAAAATGGTTTACCCATTTACTTGTCTTTTTTTTTTTTTTTTTAAGGGCAACATGGCTAGTGCTGTCACCACGACAGAGCAGATGAGGATATTATTTTAGTCCGGGGGGGTAAAAAAAAATTAACTACTGCAGATTCGAACCCAGGTCTCCCGCACAGGAAACCCCAATGTTCTAACCATTCGACCAAGCAGCCACTTAATCGGATAAAGGAAAAAAAGAGAAGTTAACAATTAGAGATGTGTGTCCCTACTTCTGTGTCCTGATTAAAACACAATTCAAAAACGCGCCAGGCAATTGTTTTCTAGTAGACAGATACTCCAGATATATTAATGAAAAAAAACGGCACAACAATAGAAAATCGCACGTGTCTAACACGGCTAATGAAGTTAATGTCGCAGTCAATGTCTGCGCCGACGTCGAGATAGTCCTTGATTTCCCCCCCCCCCCCCCCCCCCCCATCGAAGGTTGTTTGAAAAAAAAAAAAAACAGAAAAATAGAAATCGTGTTTAATATGGTTATTGTGGCAAATATAGAGATAGTCTTGTTTGCTATACCCTAGACCTACTCTATTGTATTAGAGAAGGGCGTTCGTTGGCTGCACGTAAACTCGCCGGCGAATGGCGGAAGCCTTGCGTTCTGACTACGGCGGCGCATGCGCAAATTACTAACGTGGCTATAATTAGAAATCACTAAAGTTATAAATATTAGTTGCGTATATTATTGCATAATTGTGGTCCACCTATCTCTAACAGTGACAGGTTGAATTTCAAACCACGACAGTTCAAAATCCGGTATCACAAAAACAAACATATCCTGAAACTTTCAGCTAAATCGGTTCAGTAGTTTCCGAGTCTATAGGGGTGAAAACAAACACACAAAAACATTGATTTTTTATATATATATATATATTATATAATATATATATATATATATATATATATATATAATATATATATATATATATCTATATATCTATATATATATATATATATATATATATATATTACATTATATATATATATAATGTATGTATGTATATATATATAATATATATATAATATATATATATATATAATATATATATATATATAATATATATATATATATATATATATATATATATAATAATGTATGTATGTATACACACACACACATGTATATACAATTCTTTTTCTGCCCTTCTCTTCCATTAAAGCATAGGCCCTCAATCAGTTTATGCCAAGCCTTCCTGTTTTACTACCTATTGCAACTGTCACCATGTCCCCACTCTCATTAATCTCTTACTCTAAATTTCTTCCCTGTAGTACCAATCCCATTTGTACCAATAGCCGTCTGATTGTATATCCATCGCACATTTACCTTGAGTGCTGATCGTTGGCAAGATCCCCAGGTCACTGCTCACCATGCCATTCTGTGTGTAGTGATTATATATTCATTGTTTTTACAATTTTTCAGCTTTTGATGATAATAATGTTGTATTTTCAGGCATCTTCAAATTTGATGGCCCTTATGACATCTACATAGATCTGCATAGTGTGGAAGAGTTATACCAGTACAAAGTAAGAAAACCGAAAAACATGGTAACAATCTTAGTAAAAGTATATGTATATACTCACTTCTCAGCAATCTCAGATCTAAGATTAGGTTTGCTTTTGTCCTGCTAATGACACACAGTTTTTATCTCTATGTCTTCTAGCTGCTTTTTCATGTCAACTCACCAGTTGTAAGTAAATTTTCTTTCGTGACTCTGACTTGTAATGCATACCGAGAATGACTGAGACAGGCATTACTTTCTGTACAAAGAGGCAATTATCGTTGACTCTTTGAGTCCCAAAGAACGCATCATACATTCATAGATTTCTACCTAGAAGCCCAATGAACGCAAGATGCGCCAATTTTACGTCTTTCTTGACTACCCCTTGGTCCAGTGATGCTAAACCCTCTGGGACTCAAAGAATTAAGAGGTCTTGCACAGTTAGTGTTCTTTGCATCTTCTCTCTGGGTTATCAAGGTGTGTTGGGAAATGAACAGACAGACGATAGATTAATTTATACTCTTCTTATTACTAAATATAGGAGTCAGCCAGCAGTGTGATATTTGGAGCCAATACAACCTTGACCAAGCTGAAGGAGCACATGAAGAACCTTCAGTACAAGCCTGGATTTTTCTACTGCACCCGTGTTATCAGGCATCTTAAAGTGTTGGCAAGCGTCTTAGTCAGAAATGTAGGTGTTTTTTTAGATGTGCACGTGAATGTTTTTAATAAATATTTTTAATATATTGTTTAGAAAAATTTAATAATTTTAGATATACTTCTAAACAAAGTACAAGGAAAAAATCAACAAAAGTGAGAAACAGAACTAGCCTGCTGCCCAAGGCTTCCAAAGGCTTCCCAATAAATGACAGAATGAGAATTGAAATGAGTCTTTATCAGCATGCAAAAAACATGGACAATAAAACTTCATAAAAGACTTCTTATAATTATTTAAAAAAAAAAAAAAAAAAATATATATATATATATATATATATATATATATATATATATATATATATATATATATATATTATATATATATATATATATATATATACTGGGCTGTTCACTCACAGTATGTTTAGCATGGCTGAATTCAGATTACAAACTATGTGTCCTAACTTTTTTTTAAAAATAATAATGTAAACATCCTGTCCTGTGAAATCTTTCATTCAGTTATTGCATTCTAGTATCTACATAACTAAAGAAAATATCCTACCCTGTTTAATTTGTTTTTAAATAGCATATATAGTGTATACTGTCATATCAGATTTTATGCTTTTGCTAACTTATACCTTTCAAGTTATAAAAAAAAATTTGAACTGTTGATAGTTTCTACACACAGATTTGTTATCAATTTTCTGTTTTTATCTGTTGTCTTTTATTGTTGATCACTAAATAAGCACATTTTGACATTTTATAGTAAATCATTCTGTACTTAACTATGTCTAGAAGTTTCTACCATGTCTTATCCATATTAATCTCTGAAGTTTTATCCTCGTCATGTTTTAGTCCTACCATGGTCTTTCTGACTGTTAAAGCTAATTCTTCTTCTTTTCTTTTTCTCTAGCATTTTGAGCCCTTGAGGCTCATTACTGTAAATACCCCCTAGCCTCTATTAATCTCTGTGATTGGCTTCTCTTACGAGTAGGTGACTTCAAATATTTGAATGTTTTTCCATTTAATTATCTATTCACTTTCTTCTTGTCTGCCTCATGGTCTGCTCTCTTTCACTATCTATGTGTAAGAAGCTTGTGTCCCTCTGTTATCTGCCATTCTGCCCCAACCATTGCATTATGTTATCATTTTCGATGCCAGTAATAAGTGGCAATTTAAACAAATACATTTTCTTCTTGTTTCTCAGTCTCTTTTCACTGATGTTTCTGTTTTTGATAGGTCTAGAGATTCATCATAGGACTGTTCTCAAACATAAAAAAATACATTAAAAAATTGTATTACAATATTTTAAATATTAATATGATTTGATACATCAACATTTGAAAGAAAAATCAATACATCACTAACAGGCTGGCTGCATTGCTGGTAACTTGATGATCAAACATAATCACCCAGATTTTCCTTCTGACCTCTTCACAATGATGGCAGCCATTGGGGCAAGTGTTGGAGTCTATGGTAAGTTATGATTGGTTGCTGTTCACATGCTGTGATTTTATGAATTTAACTGGTTAAAATGTCTTCATTGTCAATGACTCATCATCATGATGTGCTATAGCAATAGGCATAGGCTACCATGTTTCACCATCTCACAGGATCATGGATCAGATCAGTGTTCTTGGCCCCATCCATTTGGGCAAGCCATCCAGGTATTTATCTCTTTGCCTGCTCTTAGAGCCACCATAGTGTAGTGGTTAGATTCCAACTTACGAGCCAAAGGTTGGGGGTTCAAATCCAAATTCAGCTAGATTGATTTAAAAAAATTATCATGACTACCAGGTCGACCCAACTTTGGAAAAAAAAGAGTACCAGGTTAAGACATGGGAAATAAAGATGGCTGGCATCATGTTGGCCCACTGAGTGTCAAATAGTCTATAATAGGGCTATTCAACTGGCAGACAGCGGGCCAAATCTTGCCCACCGAGGTCTAGCAAGTCGCTCGCGGATTACTGCCATTTGGATTGTTTTAATGATTTTTCTATACTGGGGCTCAGGCCTCTGCCCTGTGACAGTCTTGATTTTCAAAATTGTTTCCCTCGAGTAAACTTAGTTTAAAATGAAAATATAAAATATAGGTCTAGCACTATAGACCCAATACCCCTAAGGTATGGAAAAGGATCCTTTACTTTTTACTTCCCCCTGCTCTTCTGGTATCAATCTTGCCATTTGTCAGTTCTTTAGTCTGTTTTCTGTTACCTTGACTGTCTAATGTCTCTGATCAGTAAGGACCGCTTGATTTGTTTTATTTTTTATGAGACCATGATATTCTTCGCATTCTTATGCAAAACGACATTTCCTGATAAGCATTTGAGACTGGATAAACATTTGAGCCTTGGATCAATTATTAAAATCTGTTGAATTGTAGATCTGAATTAACAAATTTAGGTTGTAGGCCTAAGCCCACTGAGTCACTTATCTACTGTAGTTGTGACCCCCCCCCCCCCCCCCCCTTTTTTTTTTCTTTTTTTTCTCCACCAAATATAGTAAATTTAATAGTTTTGTAAGTCATAATTAGAGTAACCCAACAAGATAAAGTGTTAAGTTGCCTCAGTCTCGCAATGCTCAGTTATTTCACCAGAGATAAAAAGACAAATTATAAATGCAATATTTAATCTAGTTTTTAGGTTATCAGTGTCAGACTTGGATACTAACAAAATAACAAGAGAGAAAAACTAACCATTTGTGAAATAAAATGATTGGGAAAACTTGCAAACAAAACCAGAAGTGAAAGTATGAGTAATGAAGAGATTAGAACTATTGAAACAATACCCATCATTAAATCAATTGAAAAACAAAGACTGAAATGTTTCAGCCACCAGTGAGAATGAAAGCAAACAATGCCAGCAGGAAGAGTGCACAATATGAAAATGGAAATATGACCACAAGATGGACTGAAGAGGTCAGAAATACCTTAAGACCTTTTGAGATCACAGCATACCAAGCAACGGAGTGTATCCTAGCTGAGCTAACCTTCTACCTCTGTAATGTTTAGTGACATGAAGTGGATATGTACAAAAGAAATAAAAAAAATTAGAGTAACTATAGCCTACAGTGAGAAAAAATTGCAAAGTATGTCATGACTTAAGAATATATATATATATATAAAAAAGAATATAGATTTCGCAATTTGAATGATTACACTAGCCATTACCACTAGTGTCAGTTCCAGCTAAGGCAGGCACTCAGTGAAAAAGGATATGTTAGAAATGTTTGCTTTATCATTATTGTATTAAATGTTTTGTGAAAGTTTTAAAGTTCTTCATAAAGTTCCTTACACTCGGTTAACTACAACATTTCCCCAGATACAAGCTCAGGAAAGATTACCAAACATCCAATACTGGAGTTTTTACAGAAAGTCAAAATGGCAGGAAAAGTTCTGGCTTTTCTGGAGATTCCGAAATTTGAAGAGAATGAGCACTATCGCTCCTTCAAGATCACTCCAAGATGGCAGGTAAACAGTTTTCAAGAATTTCTTTATTTCTAACTGCTTGTGTCACACACAAAAACAAGATCTTAAATTTTTTTTTTTTTACATAGGATACATAAGGTATATGATAATCTTACCAAGTGGTCCCACATTAAAATCCTTTTCAAGACATCCATTTTGTACATGCCACATAGTTGTAGAGCTCACCCTGCTTATCACATAAGCATTGGAATGCTGACTTTTCAGTACCAAACGATTCAACAAAAGTTTCTTTCAGTTCCAAAGATAATTTGACATTCCCGTTTATTTCTGTCACAGACAGATGCAAATATAAACACTTTTATCTGAATTATTAGTTAACTAGTTCTATTCTATAAGAATATCTGTGTTTAACTTTTTAAATATCTAATTATTCATTACTTTTATGCTTGACTTCGCATAGAAGGAGTTCAGTTAACAGCTGCTGGGGACTTGAAGACTTAAATGTTGTCAACACAATATCCGAACAACAAAAGCAAAAGATAAAAAGATCTAATGCAGCAAACTTCTGGTGTGGAGCCACCAAAAAATTATTTTATTTATATCCACTGAAACTGTTTGTTAATATATTAATTTTTTTTTGCAGAATGCGCATGCTTATGTGAATGCAGCTTTCAAAATACAAGTGGAAAAGCTTCTTGTGAAAACCAAACCTTCATTTGTCTTTGGTGGAATCAATGCAGAGACAGTAAGTATATCATCATCATCATGTAGCAGGTCCTTTGCAGGACGTTGCTCTCATCACAGTCTGCCTGAAAGAAACTCGGTCTCTCGCCAGTTCTCCCGCCTTATGTACTTTTATACTCAAGGAGTCACTTATATCCTTGCCCATCTTTGTGTCGGTCGGTCCCTGCCCCTCCTTCCTAGTACCATGCATTCTGCTATAATTTTTTCCAATCCGCCGTGGCGCTTGATATAACCAAAATATTTCAGCTTCTGAAATAGGATGCTGTTTGTTAGCCAATCTTCCTTGATGTTCAGATCTTTCAAGATGTCAGTATTTCTCCTATTCTTTGTCCAATATATTCTGAGAATCTTTCTATAGCATTTCAGCTCAAAAGCTCATATTCTCTTTCTTAAGGACTGAGAGATAGTCCACGACTCACATCCGCATGTAGCCACATGGAAGATGCATGCTCTCAATATTCTAATTTTGATCTCCTTGCTGGTGCTCAACCATGGACTTTTAAGGCTAAGTTAGTATATATTTAATACAATTGTAGTATTTTTTTTATATATTAATGTTCAGATAAGAATTGTTACATATTCTAGTAATGTCATAAATGGCCAACAGTCACTTTGGCTGATTTGCAATATCCTGTAAAGGATATGCAGCCAGTTAATCAAAACCTAGTTCTATGTATATAATAATGTGCATATACAAAAGAATAAGTCATATTTCCTTGAAACCCCAAAATAATCAAATACAAAGGTTCTGAAGAGATGGGAATGAAAAGAGAGAAAAGTTACCAAGAGATAAGTGCAGTATTTTTTCCACATCACAACTCATACTTGAGATAATAATAGAAAGCAAGTGAGCAACAGATAAACAGCGATACAAACTGGAGGATAACACCATGAGATGGACAAGCATTAAAAAAAAAAGGATGTGTCTTTTTCCTATGTTATCACAATTGACACCATTTCACAGTGGGTATTCCCACAAGTGCTCAGTTTTCTGAAGCACCGCCTTTCAAAACTATCTCTACTGACTAGTTCCCCTAGAAGCTAGCATAACTTAATTTTAAGAATATATACAATCAGGGTAACTGGTTCCATCAGAATTTGAACTCTTCGTTTGCTTCTGAAGATTGGGACAGAAAGCTTATTGAGGTGTCCCGAGTGCTGTGATGTCAGTTCTTAATTCAACATTCAACATACAATCAGGGTAATAAACAGAGAATGTTTTTTTGATTGATCCACTAAATCTAGCCTGCATCATGGAGAAGGTGCCTGATTGATGAAAATTATCCATAGAAAATCAAAGTTTAACTTTAAAGTCATCAGGATCAACTTCACTGCATAGGGCTTCATCCTGTATGACTTGGATCCTATCAGCAGAATGGCTAGTTGCCAGCATTGCACAGAGCATGAACTCTAGCTCTGGCAACAATCTCCAGGAATTTGTATGGAAAGTATGCTTGTGAACTAAGTGAAGCAGCCTTTAAACAAACTCATGAACTTCAGAGCACAATACAAATAGCTTGACCACTTTGCATGTATTTAAAAAAATTATTACCTATCAGTAGCGTTATGATTGTTAATTTGCTATCATTTTCCCTCCACTGTATTTAATAATTAGCAAATGTCACAATAAATGATTGCTTAGAAAATAAAATAAGTAACAGTTAAAGTACTATTCTCAGGCTGACCTTGCCTAAAATGGGTACCAAGTAATGACTTGGGGAAGTAAAGACTGTTGCCGTGATGTTAACCACATCACCCACTGATCGTCAGTTAGTCTACAAAAACAGGGGCCTAGCATCAAATGCCTGATGTACAACTAGCATGAAAAAAGAGTTCTTTAGCTCTCTTTTTAAAAATATATTGCTGTAGCCATTCAGCTGTACCCCATCTAAGTTGAATAAGCCACAGCTTAGGGCCTCACAGTATCCAGGGGCCTAAACAAAATTCCAAAAGTCAATGATTCTGCGATTGGGACATCAAGAGAATCATAGTTTTAAGTTGTAACTTAGAGCTCTTAGAGGATTATGTGATACTATTTCGGTTATTTTACAAATAGTCTTTATTATTTTTTTTTAATAAAATTTTACACAACAGTGTATTAACATTGTCCAAATATTTAACATGCATATATATTTTCCTTAATTAAATGACTTAATTTAACATGTGAGTTGTCCATGTGGGTACCATGGCCCCTTTGCGGGGAAAACAAGAAGAGACCCACTGCCTCATCTACAAGCATGCTGTAAGAGTCAACTAATTCCTTCGAAGTCAGAGTGTATCTGCCTGAGAGACAAGGAACCTATAGCCTGCATACACATGAATCAGAACTGTAAAACGGATGTGCACCAACACTTAGGTTCTGAACAAGTCTAAAGTCCAGAGGTCGATGAACAACCAGAACTTTCCACCAGAGTTTACAGCCAGTGAACACAAAGAAGAAGGAGAAGATGAAAATGATAGAGGTCTCAGGGCTTTATATAGCTAAGGACCTCATCAGGTCTAAATCTGGCACTGATTGAAAAATGTAACTTTGTTCTGCTTTTCTTTCTGGCTTTCACTGAGATTTGAAAGATTTTATGATTTCTCCTTCTTCTGCATTTACCCTCAAAAGGCTAGTTTGATGCTGTGTTGTTGTTTGCAGTAATTCTGCCATATTTTGTCTTCTGGCCCAACATATCTGATTTCTGCAAACTAATAATCTTTTACGACATGTTTGTTAAGGAACGGTGGATCTCTTCTTTTCAAACAAAAAAATAAGACCCAGGAACCCACCCCAGGAAATTTTATGATTTTTTATCATTGCTGTCATTATTATTAAAATTATAATGCGAGTGAATGATAAATAAATTATTTTCCAATTAAATCATCATTGTCTATCTAGGTTCATGCTACAAAGGCAGAAGAATTCATCAAAGGAAAAACTCTGAGTGATGCTGTCATAAAAGGTTTGTGTACTTCTCATCTGTATTAGTAAAAGTAAAGTAAAGGACCCTTTTCTACGCTTTTAGGCGTATAGGGCATTTAGAGCTAGACCTATATTTTTATAGACCAATCGGCACAAGATGGGTGATGTGGTCAGCATCACGCCAGCCCCCTTTACTTCCCGGGACTGCGCCCGGTACCCACTCAAGGCTGGGTCGACCTGGAGGCCAAGGTTATTTTTGAAAAAATTCCGGCTCCGCCAGGGAGCGAACCCACGACCTTCCAATCCACGGCGAGCGTCTAGCTGCTTGGCCATGGCGACTCCCATCTGTATTAGTACTCAAATGTTTCATAAACATAACACCATTGAATCTTGGTGCAGAAGTGTGAACAGTAAAGGCAATTAGAATATCTGATTGAGTTTCTGAATATTTTTGGTGTCTACATGTGTGTGTGTGCATATGTGCACCTGTGTGCACATCAACGTGCTTTGTTGTTGTTGAGCAAGTGAGTAAGTGATGATTGTATTTGGTTTACATAAAAGCAAAATATAGTGGGGGCTTCACAGTTATCGTACTTTCCATTAATGTTTCTAATAGATCGTTACAATGTATTGTCTTTGTCTTGTATCATGCAAAATGCAAAAAAGCTTTTTCTTGTTTCAGAAACTTTGAAAATATTGGCTTCTGAGCTAAAGCCATCATCAGATGATCCACTGCATGCCTCAGCTAAATATAGACATGATTTGGCTGTCAATTTGCTTTACAAGGTATTCACTTTAGTAAAGTGATTAAAAAAAATATTTGCATAGGAACTTTAGAAGTGAGTGTAAGGTATACTGCCATAGTATAGTACTTCAAGTGGACAGTAAAAGTAAAGGACCTGGTAAAGGTGGCCCTTTTTTTTTTTTGCCAGATGGTGGCTGTTGCATTTTTGCTCCATTTGTAGACTGGAAGGATATAGTTTCATCGCCCATAAATAATACTGAGCTGAGTGCATGGCGTGACACTGTGAGCTACGTGTGTTTTTCGTTGGCACAGGAGCGGAGCAACTATGGGGTGACCCGTTTGCTATGAAGTTGAAACTAGGATTACCAGATTACCAAGGAGAGGAAGCAAGTGGAGAATCACCAGACAGGCACTGAAATAGAAAAGCCAATAGACTGAGGAAAGGAGCACATCCAAAAGAAACCTTAAAACGAATGTTGATAAGAGATGTCAAAGGTGCTAGACTAGATTCCATCCATGATGTCAGAAGGATTGCAAGGATATAACAGAATGGAGTAATAGACTGTGAGCCCTACGTGACATTTACTAGCACATCAAGATGCTGATAAGAGCAAGTAGAAATTGTGTTTTATAGAGTCCCAGGGAGCCATATCAGAGATGCAGTGATCCCCATTGCTTCAATTCTAATGCTGAGTGTTGTGTTTGAATATGATTTGCTATGATGCACTTCCACTGGACCATTAAGTGCAGTTGTAATCATGCACTTCACTTAATTCTTCCGTCAATTTAACTATTAGGACAACATCCTGAATATCACCTTATTGCCAACTTTGCACTCCAGGTCCACCACTTTTATACATTCTCTGTGAAATATTAGACAGAACTGATGATATTTGGGTTCTGTCTTCTATCTAAATGACATCTAGTATTTCTCATGCAACTTAAATAAACCCTAGTCTAGGTAAAGGCACATTTGGATCCATCAAGAGAATGCCAAGTTGGGTCATATTATCACAATCAACATAACTCAACATGGGAAAATCCATGCGCACACAGTCCTCTGCAGTAGCCATCCTAAAGTACCTATGTTGAATTTGTCCATAAAAAGTTCAGTTATAATCTCTTCTATCTTCACCTTGAATATGGCATAGACATACTTTACCATACTTCATTCTCATGTCATGCACACAAGTTGGAAACTTACCAATATCCACTAGTCTAGTCCCTACAGCATTAAAAATATAAGTTTTTTCTATGGTTCTCCCCACTTATACTAAGGCATTACATTCTGGTGGTCCACTCAATTATTACCCTTTACATTGTCAGGTCTGGATTTGTACATTCAGGTGAGTAATTTGTAGTGTGACTTTCAAATACACTCTGCCTCTGACTCAACACTTAAAGGAAAGGAAAGACTGACATAAATCTTACTAATAATGATACAACTGGAACTGGAATTCTGTTGGTTGCTGAAGATGGGGATGAAGCACTTATGGGAATGTCATGAGTGTTATTATATCAGTTCCTAACTTAACTGAAAAAAGAAAAAAAAATAGAGGAGAATATGTGTTGTATTTTTCTGCTGCATCTTCTTAGTCTGATATGGTTGTTGTATAGTCATGTTATTTAACACACTTCAAATAAAATATATAATACCTCAGTATGATTTATTTGATGTGCAGACCTTGCTGGAGGTGGCTAAGCCAACAGATCCAAAGATTCGCAGTGGAGCTGACAGCATGGAGCGTCCAATATCATCTGGACTTCAAACATTTCAAGAGAAGAAGAGTGAATTCCCTTTGATGCAAGCCATGCCCAAGCTGGAAGCACCACTTCAGGTAAGTTGTTGTTGTCTATCAAGCAGCGCTTGAGCTTTCACCCTTTGGCCCAATGCCATGTAGTGGAATTCACATGTTTTCACAAGCTGTTCTTTTCCTCTGTACAAGGTGTTCCACTTGTCTGGTCACGAACGGAGTAGCTTTCTTCTAGTCTCTCTGAGTTTTGGATACTCACTGAGATGATGGTCAACAGTTTCACAGGGGCAGTTACAGAGTCTGAAGATGGTCGCCTGGTCCATCCTAGTTAGATGGTTAATACTGTCGTTAGGATCAGGGCCAGCCATATATCTGTAAACCTCTCTTCCACTCTCTCTCATGGCCCATCTGTTCAGCCAAGATTCTTTGTTTATTGCTCTCATAAGTGCTTTAGCAGTGTTATGTAAGTGTAAGCTGTATGGCTTAGAGTTAAGTGAAATGGTTTCAACACACAGTCCTCAGCTCTTTCAGATTTCTGCATTGGGTGGTTTAGAAACAGACAGTTAGGATGTCTTTTAGATTCTCGTATGGAAAGATATTGGGCCTTACCAAGTAAAATTCCCATAGTTCATAGAGGACACATTGCAGCCAGCCTCCATTGGCTGAATACTTTAAGAAACATAAAGAAGCTGAGTATTGACTGAGAAGCCATCTAAAGGATACCAAACTTGGAGAATGCATAGGGGGAAATGCTGCACTATAGAAATATTAGTTATGTATTTCTGTTGTGAAAAGTGGCAGATTATGAATCCTGGTATCATCGGTTTTTGTGTGTTTATTGTAGCAAAACAAAAAATAGGTAATGGAAACATTATGGGTCAAAAAAAAACCCACAAAAACTTAAAATCATAGGGTTGTTACATGTTTTTCACAACAGGTATATAACATCTTCCTGAGAAGTGGATGTTGCAACTGGCACCATCAGTATGGGAACTCTTCAATGGCTATTGAGGAAGAGTACTTGTGGGAATGCCCCAAGTGCAGTTATGTCAATTCTTGATTCATTCATTAACAATGAAATGTATGCCTGAATGCCTATGGTGACTTTTTCTGATGACCCCTATTATATGCTTGCTTGTGGCACAGTGATTTATGTCACAGGCATGAGGGGAAGTTAAGTCCAACATGATGTGTATAAGGAGATACTCTGTACGTCACTCAGGCGCCAGTCCTTCACTGTTCTGGTTTTACGGAACCTCACGCAAGACCCCTGCAGCACGTCCTGGTCGTGCGCCACGGATATTGTCTCAAACGAGCATTAACAGAGCTGTCAGGGGATCTCGGAGTTTGGTGGCCCCCAGAGGTGATGTGTCCTTGTGGCTCTCATCAGCCCGCCCCCAAATGCTTGGGTGAAAAAGGTTATCAAAACTCATTAGGAACATGAGTATGCTTGCCAAACTTACAGCTAAAAATCACAACCCTTGGTTAAAAGAATGTGAAGAGAACATTGTTCACTGTACATCCTCTGTTAACCCTCAGTGTCGTCGCCACCGCGCTGAGGTACACCACAACAGCAACCATCCCTAGGCTGGCCATCCATGTACATCCTCGGTTAACCCTCAGTGTCATCGTCACCGCGCCGAGGTACACCACAACAGCAACCATCCAGAGGATGGCCATCCATGTACGCAGGATGTAAAATTCTGTCGGGCTAATGGCTCGTCAGAGAAAACTAACGTGCGAAGAAAAAAAGAATGTGCCTATTCGTGTGGTCACAAAAGTCCAAAATCCACAGGCTGCTCCCCGCTGACTTCCAGAGGGCACAGCTCTTGTCGAGCGGGAAGCCTGATACGGTTGTGAGGTTAAGCAGGCATGTGCAGGACGTGACGATTCCTTGGGTGAGCCCAGAACCAGAGCACCATGAGCCGGCTCTGCATACATGGAAGCCGCCTTGGATGGTGGGGAATGTCCATGATCTGCCCCTGCCTTCCCTTGAGGGCTAACTGTTCCACAGGGGGCTGCCCCAAAGGGGTACTCCAGGGGCAATACCTGTGGAGAAGGAGACAAAGTGGACTCCACACAAATCAGGCAACGTCTTGACCCACACAAAACAATGGCCACAGTCAACCTAGAAATAGGCCTGACGTCTTCCTTCGAAGTCGGAGTACAGCTGCCCATGAGGCAGGGAACATTAAAACGGTTGTACACGCAAAAATAAGGTCCGGGTGAAAGCCAAAAGTCCAAGTGAACGATTAACCGTGACTTTCCGCCGGAATTCACAGCCGGTGAACGCAAAAAAAAAAAAATATGCTTGCTTCCTAATAGCTGCACTGTGTAATTCTGCCACACCTTTTTCTACTTTTTAAATAAAGCCATTGCAAATGGTTACATTTGATCATGCCGCTAATTTAAATCAATTCTGCCTAATTGATTACAACCATGGAGAAAAACTGAAACTATTGTTTAAAAAAAAAATGTACAAACATTCATTAGGTTCTGCCTGTGTAGAATAAGAAGGTCTAAAATAATAAAAACAGAACACTAATGCAGAGTTTTGGTAGAGATCAACTACACTGTAAACAAACTCCATTGATCTGTTAATAAAAACCCTGGCACTAGATTAGATCGGAGAAAGACTGATAACAATATAATTAGTGTGTTTACAAAGCGTTCCACTGTGCTTTATGCAGGTATAAAAATCACAGCCTGTGGAAATAGCATGCATAACTAGTATGACCAGCCACGCCTTAAGCAGAATCATCCACAATAAACACCTGAGATTTCATCACCATTGCTGCCATCAACAGTTTGTGACATGTTTATTGTCAGATGTTCAGCTCTCAATATGACTTCAATAGATTTCTCATTTATCTCTTTCTCTTCCAATTTTTTTTTTCATTTCATGAAATGGGATCCATATCAATAGACAATAATAAGTTAGAGATGAGTGACATGGGCAGGACATGGTGGGAGTTGCAAGAGATGTTGAAAGATAGAATGGCTTGGACAGTTTTTGTTGCAGGCTGGTTTGTTAGCTCACTTGTTTTGTTTTCTTAATGCTCTGTCTTTGAACGTAACATGGTTAGGGAATTAAGGATGAAGGATGGTAGAGTCCCTGAGGACATAGAGATGAGCAGAAGATGTCAAGGTCAGCATTTACTACTTTTTTAAGACATTTGTAGACAGGTCATGTATGTTGCAGGTATTGAGAAGGATTCAAGGAGTAGGATGCCAGGGATTGCATTAAACAAAGAGGAAAATTAGGAAGGGAATAGATGCAGGAGAAAAATACTGCAGACAGGTTGAGAACTAAGCATCAGTGAAGAATAAAATATATTCTTGTGACTACAACATTGGTCCTGGAATTGCATCCACTTATTATGGAAGAATCTTCTCAAGATGAGATGATCTTGCTAGTCCCACTCATCTTTATCATGGGATGTGATTCTCATGGCACAAATGGCACAGTGCAACACTGTCAAATGAAAAGATGGAAAAGTGCAAGCAACAAAGGGTCTTAGCTGGAAAATAAAAGACAATAAAAAATGTCACCTAAATAAAACACCAATCTTGTTTATCACCTAAATAAAACACCAATCTTGTTTACAATATTTGTTGTGTTAGTAGTCTTAAAAAAATATGTTGCCAGTGAATGTATCGCCCGTCAAATTACTGAATAATTTTACAGTTCAAAATAAAGTCCATCTATTTATGAAGTAAGTTGTGACCTTTTTTGTTTTCAGGCATCAGGAGAAACTGTTTATGCAAATGATATCCCTGCATTCCAAAGAGAGCTGTATGGGGCTTTTGTCATTTCTACTGTTGCAATTGGTGCTATCGTAAACATTGACTGCTCCGAGGCACTGGTGAGTTTCTTTTAAGTTATCTACATACAATTATTTGTTTTAATTATTACACTAAATTATTGTCCAGGGTGGGGCCCCAGGGTGGGAAAAATAGAATTGACCCACCGTCTACCCAACAAGCATGTAGTAAGAGATGACTAACTAGGGGACTTCCTTCAAAGTCATAGTGCGTCTGCCTGAGAGGCAAAGGAGCCAGTTGTCTGTATACAGATATGTCAGATCTGTAAAACGGATATGTACACAGCACTCAATTTCTGGAACAAGATTACCCCCCTCCCCCACCCACCCCACCCACCCTCAAAAAAAGAACTTTTCATCAGTTTACTGCTGGTGAATGTGAAGAAGACGGTACTCAATGATTTATCATCATTATTGTAATCATCATCATTAGGTTAGTCAGGGATATTGCATTCTACACACACTACATATGCAGGCATCCATAAACATGCAGGTTTGCATATACATTTGCATGCAGGTTTGCATATACATTTGCAAGCAGACACAGATGCAAACATGTACTCGCACACTCCACAAAACACACACACAAACACACACAGACAGACACACACACACACACACATGCATGCACACACACAGTCATGCAGTGGTTTAGGTCAGTGATAATAACACACCATATCCCCTGTTAGATATTGACAGTACTGATATCTTCTAACTATGTTGTAGGCAATCCCAGGTGTGGTCAAGTTCATCAGTGCTGCAGACATTCCAGAGGGAGGTAAAAACAACTTCATGGATGTTGTATTCTTCCCAACTATTGGAGCTGAAGAGGTCAGTTAATATTATTTAATAATTTGTAATGATTCATAAATGCTTTCTATCTAATATAGATAATAGGAAATGTAATGGAACATACTGGCAATAGTTATATACCAGCCACATTACTTGTTGAGTTATGATTGGCATATTCAAATATGAGACTCATATTATTCAGTAATCATCATCATCATCTTGAAGGGCTGTCATCCATCCAGAAAAGCCAGAAGTTTTATGGTGCTCTCTGGACAACAGAATCGTCAGAGCTGATGTCTCAATCCTCACAATAAACAACAGAAACATCAAAACAGAGGGCAAACTCAGGTACCTGGCAATCATCCTCGATAGAAGCCTGTAATTCAAGGACCAAGTGGAGGCAGTTAAAGAAAAATGCCAAAAGGGACTGAATGCACTAACAATTATGGCAGCAGTGGACATGAAGCAAAAAAATGTTTTTCAGGATTTGATTATTTTGGTGATGGGTTATAGACTAAGTCTGCTCACCATATTGAAGAGGCAACTGGTGAAGCTCAAATGCACACATAATGATGCCATGTGGCTGATTCTAGGATGCACATAAGATACCCCAGTAGTCTGTTTGTGATGCTATCTATTGCAGACAGACTAAAAGTGCTGTAAGCTCAGTCATACCTCAGGGTAGCCGCTGACAAAAATCACCTTCTTTAAGAAGATTTCAGAAATTAGTAAATTATTCTGAAGTATTGCATATAAACTGGAACACATGCTTTTTAATTTCGTTTTTTTTTTTTTAAATTGTTGTTTCAAACTAATGAAATTTTACTTTGACAGGTTTTTGTGTCCAAGAATGTAGAATATGCTGGACAAAGCATTGGCCTTATCCTGGCAGGTAGGTATCTGGATTTCTTACAAGTACATATTTTAATAATATAATCATTTTTATTAATTTTGTTATGTTATAAATAACTAAAAAAAGGAATGTGCTATGGAAAATTAACAGAACAAATAATGAATTAAGTAATGCAAAATCCAAAGCTCACATATATATATTCTAACTGACATGTAACTTCGTGACCTGTTCTTATTCAGAGATATAAAGAGTTTCATTATTTGGCAATACTGTAAAATATAATGAAATTACTGGTATATATGAAAGCCTGCTGTTTTATGCTTCTGTAATAGTATGTGCCTAGGCTCTGACCTTGACTGCTGTATGAAATATATAAGCTTCAACCTTCAAGTTAATTTAATAGAAAACAAAACTATGAACCCTTCTGGACCCAAGAACTGCAGCAGCTGAAAGAAGCACAGAAGCAAGAGTAAAAATGGAAGAAGATCCCTGTGACCTCAGCATAACAGAACACAGTAAACATCAGGCTATTTATAGAAAAGGAAAAACTCACATGAATCCGGACAAGACGGCAGGAAAAGACTGCAGTTCTCAACACAGAGAAAGATGGTAAAAAGATATGGCATCTAGTAAAGAGTCTAAATGAGAAGAATCATACCAGTCATGCCACACTGTCATTGTAGATGGTGGGAAAACTATCACTGGCAAACAAACAGCAAACCTGCTAGCTGATAGTTTTGCAGAGGAAAGCAACATTTTCATGTCTAGAGCGAGAAAAGAAGAAAGGATGAGAGAACTGAGGAAATCCAATAAAAAATAACCAATGTATAATGAATGAACTCTTCAGTTTGCAAGAAACTGAATGCGCATTAAGAAACCTAAAGACAAGTAAGGCACCTGGACCTGAACAAATAACTTATGATATGATAGAACACTTGGGATTATTTGGTAGGCAATGACTCTTTGACCTTATAAATCAATCCTGGACCCAGGGACTACTTACAAAGGAATAGAAGGAGGCAGAAAAAGTCTGGGAAAAAAAATAACAATTAAAAACTGACTAAAAAGACAAAGCTTCCACCATCTATCAAAATTGTACTATGTCAAAAACGGTGACATCCTTTCTAAAGACCCTTCAACGTGGGAAATGATCCAGGCCTAACTATACAGTCACAACAACAATCCCAAACAGAAAGGTTGAAGAATGTGACCTAATACAGCAAGCAAAGACCATTTAACACGTCTACAACTCTCACCCAAAACCTAAATAGACACACATTTACATCGGTGGATCATTGGAGGAAGCAGAAAAAAAAACAGAGGAGCTGGATCAGTCATCATGCTGCAAGATAGGACCACAGTAGAAACATCATAGGGCTCTGGAAGACTCTCAGCATACCTCAGAACAGAGCAGCAAGCAATTATTGATGCAACCAAAGTGCTTGAGGAAAGAAAAATTAAAACCAGCAAAGTTGTTTTTCTTTGTGACCATATATCAGTCCTCCAGGCACTTAGAGGAATCCACAAGACAACATGGAAACAACACACCCATTCATTGTCATTACCAGAAATCAAAACACTCATCAAGGGAAAATACAAGGAATCGTGGAGAGAACAAACCAACAGTAAATATCCACAAGACCCTATCAGCAGATTCAACAGAAAGCAATGTACAACAATTTTCTGTCTATGAACAGGACACTGCAGGCTCAACCACCACATGCATAAAATAAAGACTGTACAGTCCCCACAGTGTGGCTGCCAGACAGGACCACAAACACCTCAGCACATTCTGCAGACCTAGCCACTCTACCTACAACTTCGAAAAGAAACCTAACCTCAAGAGCAAAGTGTGCAGAGCAAGCTATGAGGAACCATGAAGGACCTGCTGCTGACATGCGAGTTCATAGAGGCAACCCACCTAATGGTCTGATCTAAGCAAACGCAACTGAATGCAAAGAAGAATAAGAAGTATTAAATAACATTGCATTAGTTTCAGACTGATAGCATAGGAATTAGAACTGTAATGAATTCTGAAGATTGGAACAGAGCACTTATGGGAATGTCCAGAATGCTGCGACATTGGCTGTTAACTCATTGTTTCAGACAGAATGAGTTTTAAGTAACACTGCCTGGTACTAAAAGTGCTATTAGCAGACTGTCTTATGGCTGTATCATTCAGAAAATCTATTTATTGATACTCTTCCATTGCAGAAACACAAGCTCTTGCCGAGCTTGCTGCCAGAAAGGTGAAGATCACTTACGGCAGCATGCAGGAGCCGATCATTTATGTTGAAGATGGAGTTGCCAAGGGATCATTTTTCGAGCAGAAATTCAATAAAATTATGGGCCAGTCTGAAGGTTATATTTACATTATCTTTCATAATTTGTTTAGGTTTTTTAATGTTTACAGTTTTACATTAGAAGACAGTCAACATTCTTTGATCATATCCTGAGAAGGAGAAAAGTAGTAAATTGTTTTGATGAGAAAGTAGAAGAGGCAGAGAGAGAGGATTCTGAACAGATTATCATCTTGGCATGGAAGTTCATCTGTGTCAGAAATTATTTAAAGTACACAAGACAAAGGATTGTTGATAGACATACTACCAACACCATACGGCATGAACTATAGGACAAAGAAGATTTATAATTTGTTATTTTTGTATATTAAATAAATCTGGCTCACACACAGTACCACGTCCCTGAAATATGAAAGCTTTGGCCACATCAAACCTTTCAAGTGAAGTCACTATTAAGACATCTAATTATATTTATTTTAAATTATTTATCTGCTTTAAAGTTTATTGTGAATATTTTTTTTTGTTGGGGAGGGGGGGGGGGGGGGGGGGGGGAGAGATAAGTAGGAAACTGGCAAAGTGCCAATCACAAAAATGAATGGAGGTGGGTGATATCTGCAGCAGAGAACTTTAAAGGCTCAGAATGATTAAAAAAAAGGAAGCAGAAGAAAAAGAAGAAGCAGCAGCAGCAAAAAACAAATATACAGAAGAAAGAAATCAATCCAACATTATTGTCATTACTGCCGGTTTACTTACTAAAGCATCTGTTTACATAACATTATACATTTAACAAGGAATCACTGTGGTATATTGGCTAGACACTCACTTGCTGGCCAGATGGTCTTGCGTTCAAATCTGCATTAAGTCTGCTTTTTCATCATTACTTTGCATTAGTTAAAGAACTTAAATATCAATTAAGCATATTCTCGGAGAATGGGAGAACAGATCTGGAAATGGAAACAAGATGCCAACAAGCCAGTGCAGCTATATACCAACTGACATCATTATTAAGCCATCCAAACAGATTATAAACGGTATATTCATACCAACACTGTTAGACACCAAAAGCTAATCTATGTAAAATTAACACCTGTGAAATGAGATGCCTAATGAAAGCTGCTAACTTAATTTGATGTTAAAGCAAGAGGTCGCCCTCCCTAAGAGAACATGGATGGAATGATAATAGCCATTGCTGCCTGCTAACTTAATCTGATGTTGAAGCAAGAGGTCGCCCTCCCTAAGAGAACATGGATGGAATGATAATAGCCATTGCTGCCTGCTAACTTAATCTGATGTTAAAGCAAGAGGTCGCCCTCTATAAGAGAACATGGATGGAATGATAATAGCCTTTGCTGCCCATTTAGCGGTGGATTGCAAATTTGTGATAGCAAATGTTCCTCCCCATGACACTTAACTGCAGAAATGGAATTGATGATGATGATCAGGATGGTGACCTTGGTTTGAAGGTCGACCCTGACTGAAACAGGCACTAGACAAAAGTCCTGGGAAGTACAGGCAGCTAACATGATAGTGATGACATCACCCATCGAGTGCCAATTGGTCTATAAAAATGTGAGTCTACCATCAGATGCCTTATGGGCCACTGATGTGAAAGGGGTCTTTAATTTACTTACTGTATCATTTACAGATGCACTGAAGAATTCTGACCTAACTGTGTCAGGACAAATCTATGAAGGGGGACAATACTACTACTACATTGAAAACCAGGTATCTTATCTTGTATTTTGAATTTTGTACCTCTCTTAACTTCACACACACAAAGTAGTTATTTTATTTATAACTCTTCTAAATTGTTTTTGGCACTTAGCCTCTCTTAGTATATTGATCATCATCATCATTGTGTGCCCTTTAGATAAGCATAGATGGTAAGGTTTTACAATCTCACACAGTCACCAGAATCAGGGATCAGGTCAGTGCTCTTGTCTCACCCCCATTCATAAGGCCCAAAGTATTCATTTCTTTGCCTTTCCCTTGCTCACTTTCTATCTATTATGCCAGCTGTTATAGTTTCTTTAGCCAGACATTTAATATTATTTTCAAGCCCTTCTGTCCTAAAATTTTCATTGCTGAACACTTGCTAAAAAAAAAGTGATGTCTAAAAACGGTGCTGGTACTGTGTACTGTTGTGTACCATCAGGGGGAAAAGTCCTGGCTGTCTGTATATCTGCTACAGCAGAAATTTTCAAAACACTTTTCAAGAATCACTTTCAGTTATTTGTTGAGAAGCCACAAAATGGAATCATTGCTTAAGTCAAATTGCAATGGATATTTTGGCAACATCTTCTGTGCCAGGCTATATTGGCCCTCCCCTCTCCTTGGTATCACCAGCGAAGCATAGAGGGGATACTTGCTGCCTGGGCAACAGCCTGTACTCAAATTCAACATGCCCAGGCCTGTTCCCTAGAGAGGTTACCCCAGTGTCGCTTAATAGCTTCGACACAACACGGAAGGCAGCACTTACTGGTTAGAGACTGCAAGTCCCGCATTGGACTTCACAGTCATAGCAGACATTCCCAAATCCAGCATCACCACTCCACAGTCTCCCAGTAACTGACCATTGCCAACGGGTTAAGTTAATTTTCTTGCTTAGTTGTAGGCAGTAATTGATATGCTTTGAAATACAGTTAACTTCAATAATTTGCACACATTTTATTCTTCACTTTAGAACCATCTTATCTATGTTAGCGTCAGATAGCTGTCAGCCAGTAGCATGTCCTTTGCAGAACTTTGCTTCCATAACAACCTTCCGGAAAACTTCTCGATCACATGCAAGATGTTCTGCATCTGATACACCTATCTGGAGAACATCCGCCACATCTTGCACCCATCTTCTCTTTGGCCTTCCTCTTCCCCTCTTTCCAGGCATATACCCCTCCATTATTGTTCTCTCCAAACTTTTGTGATGTTTCAAGTGACCAAAATATTTCAATTGTCTGTGTTTTATCGTCTCTAAATTGCCAACTTTTTTTAATATTCAGTTCTTGAAGTATGAATGCATTTGTTCTTTTTCTTACCAATGATATTCTTAAAATCTGTCTATAACATTTGTATTCAAAGGTATTTTTGCACTGTTCAGCTTGTTTAGTAAGTGTCCAGGTCCCACAGGCATATGTTGCAGTGGGAAAGATGTATGCTCTTAGAAATCTAATTTTAGTTGTTCTGTCTGAATGATAGACTCAGAAAGCTGTCACTTTAGTTAATTCTATCCCCAGTGTTTTTCTGTGGATCCATTCTGAGGGGAAAAAAGAATAGACCCACAGCTCCCTAACAAGCATGTCGTAAGAGTTGACTAATTAGGAATGTTTCCCTTCGAGGTTGAAATGTATTTGCCTGAGAGGCGAGGAACCAACAGTCTGCATACAAATAAGTCAGATCTGTAAAATGCATGTTTACACAAAATTTAGTTTCCAAGACAAGACTTAAGTCTAGAAGTGGATGAACAACCAGAAGTTTCTACCAGAGTTTACTTCTAATGAGCATGAAGAAGAAGAAGGAGAACTTTCTATTACAAGGAGTCCATAGGTAATTCATACTTTCATCTGGAGGAGTTAAAAATCATACAATTGGATGACAGAGTTATTAAAGTAAAATTCTGGATAAGAGTTTATCAGTATAACAACAACCTCTGACTGAGAGAATTAAGAAAATATGCGGTGCAATGAGTTAACACCAGGCATATGGTGTCTTTAGTGGCATTTAGAGAGTTAATAAAATAAGTCATAAAAAAATATCTGATAACAGGTCATGCATCTTAATGGCAGAGTGAAACCCTGGCCCATTACTGTTAATGTTGAAAATTCACTGTTGCGAGACATTTCACTGGTTTTCACTGGATATGGAGATTATATTTTTAAATTAATTTATTCATTCATTCATTTTAAACTCAGGTTTCTGTAGCTGTGCCCACAGAGGATGGCATAGATGTATATTCATCCACGCAAATGCCAGACATGACTCAGAAGTCCTCAGCTGACATTATTGGCAAACCATTGAACTAGTGAGTTATGTAGTTTTGTAGTGAAATAATCCTCATTTGTATCCAGTAAGTTGCTTATACTCACTTATATCCAGTTTGTATGTTACACTCACTTATTTCCAGTGTATTATATTAATTTATCTCCAGTAAGTATCAGATATTCATTTATACCTAGTAAGTATCTTATATTAACTTATATCAGTAAAAGGACCAATTTCCATACCCTTAGATGTATGGGGCGTATAGTGCTAGACCTACATTTTAAGACCAATCAGCACTTGGTTGTTGATGTGGTCGTCAGCATCTTGCCAGCCCATGTCTACTCACCAGGACTGTTACCTAGAACCAGTCTGAGGCCTGAAGCCAAAGTCTGTTTAAAAAACAAAACAAAAAAAACAACACTCCATGCAGATCTGAACCCACAACCTCCACAGCCACTTCACCACAAAAACTCCCAATTATGTCCGGTAAATATCCAATAAGTAACTTATATTAATTAACATCAAGTATTTGTTTTCATTATATCTAGCAAGTATCTTACATTTACTTATATCCAATAAGTGTCTTTTTTCACCTATACCCCGTACCTTGTGTTCACATATACCCCGTACCTTGTAAGTATGAATTATGATTTCTGTCTTCCCGTTTACAGAATAATTAACTAACAGAAAACACTATGTAATAACTTCTGAGGCATTTTCAAGTTATCAGTTAATCACTAAGATTTAGTTTAGCCATTATGAGTTTATGTGTGTTTGTGTGTACACACACACATATATATGTGTGTAAACACACACAAACACATATATGTCTATGTGTGTGTGTGTGTGGACACATACAATTTACAGACATGTGTGGGTTTGTGTGTGTATATGAATGCATGCAAGAGAGGGGGAAAAGAGAGGTAGGCTACCTACTATCCTCCCCAAGATGTTTGAGGGTGAAAGGTGAAAGATGATGGCGATGATGATAAATAACATTGATTTAAATTACATGTTAAACTTTCTCACATAAATTGTGGTTCACTTTATTAAACAGCATCAATTTGATTGGTTGCCGTGTTGGTGGGGCATTTGGAGGAAAGGCCCTCTACTCTAGTGTCATGGCCGCAGCAGCCACACTAGGCAGTTATGTCACAAAAAGGTATCACAGCTATTTGTATATTTACTACTGAATTTCATTACCATATGGGAAGCTGGACTAGCACAGTGGCTAGATGTTTGCTGTTGCCAGCCAAAAGGTTTTTGGTTTGAATCCTCAACAACGCAGATTATTATGATTGACCTTTACCTCTTGTGGAGCTGCCATGGTGTAGCAGCTAGATCCTTGCCTGCAAATCAACAGGTCAAGGGTTCAAATCCAAATGGAAGCAGACTTTTTTTTTCAAAAATGTAACCTTGACACCCAGGTTGACCCAGCCTTAATGGGTGCCAAATAAAGTGCTGGGAAGTAAAGGTGGCTGGTTTGATGTTGACCAAATCACCTAATGAGTGACGATTGGTCTGTAAAAGATATATCTAGGACTAGTGTCCAATGTGCCTCAAGGCATGGACAAGTCTCCTTTACATTTTAATTAAAAATGTGCCCAATATTCCCTATAATGTGATAAAGAGTCCTCTATTTACCTGGACCTCTAGGCTGAACCAGCCTAAAACTGGTACCAGCAAATTTTCTGGGAAGTATACATGGCAGATGTTGAAAAGATCACAAAGTGAGTCCTGATTGGTTTATGCAAACATTATATTTAATGCCAAGCTTTGCCCAGGATAGTTAATGAAAATGTTCTTTTTCCTTCTTCTTCTACTTCTTCTTTGTTTCCACCGCTGCCTTGTGTTTAATCATTGCTCCCACCTGCACCTGAAGCTCATACCACTTTCCTGTGCCATTCTACCACCTCCACAGTTTCACACTTGACCTATGAAGCTCATACCACTTTCCTGTGCCATTCTACCACCTCCACAGTTTCACACTTGACCTCATTGGCCATCCCCGCACCCTCAGAAAGGCAGTTAAGGTTAGTTGCGTATCCTATACAGGTTGTTGCAGAACCAACCTCGACAGCCCCTGGCTGTTGTGTGGTTTTGCTAGGCAAATTTACATCCGGTAGTTTCAGAAAGGCAGTAGCACCCACTGTAAGAAACATTATTCTAGATACTACACGGTCATGGCTCCCACTGTTAAAAGAAGATGAAAGTTACTGTCCAGACTTAACATTTAAAGAGAGATAACAATAAAATGTTGTTTTTGTTTTTGTTTTCTTTAAACTAATTCTCCCAGGGCAGAAAAATAAATAAATATATATATTTATATATATATATAAATAAAGTTTATAGTTATGATCTCAAACTCCCATCACTGTGGCTAGAGAATCAAACTAGAGTGACAGTTTTGTGGGTCACTGATAAGTAGAGTCAATGCCAAGAAAGACGTAACAAATATATATATATTATACTATATATATATATATATATATATATAATATATATATATATATATAAATATATATATACTAGCTGTACCGGCCACGCGTTGCTGTGGCATAGTTTGGCTAAATGGAAATGAAAGAAAATAGAAATCGCACGTGTCTAATACAATCATTGTCTGCTCAGATATAGAGATAGTCTTTGATCCCCGCCGCGGCCCCCCCCCCCCCCCCCCCCCCCCCCCCCGCCCCCCCCCCCCCCCCCCCCCCCCCCCCCCCCCCACCCCCCCCCCCCCCCCCCCCCCCCCACCCCCCCCCCCCCCCCCATCACAGCACAACTAAATCCACCTACTACTCTCTCCCTCATCAAGGTTTTTGGGAAAAAAAAAAAAATGGAAATCGCACGTGTCTAATATAGTTAATGTCGCAATCATTCTCTGCACAGATATAGAGATAGTATGGTTTTCTAACTTTAGAACACGCACCTTATAATTGTGTCTTTATATTAGTGGTTGTTTAAATGGTGTTATTAGCACAGTAACAAAAATGGTTATTTGGTTATCACATGCTAAAGCTGTTTGTATTTTTATAGCAGACGGAAGTAAAGCTACAACTGTACTTGAGAATAACAAAGTAAGTCGTAAAAAATAGAAAAGCGGAGGTAGTGTTAGTAAAATATAAACATATTAGGTAATGAGAACTTGAAAATCACGTGTAAAGCTCTTTAAGTTCTCTTAAATTTAAGTCATTACCCCCTCCCCTCCCCTCTTCCACCGTCTACTGCTCTCTCCCTCTTCAAAGGATTTGAAAATCACTACCTGGCGATATTTTGTTGTTGCTGTAACTAACATTGACATCCCTGTCCATCTGGACTAAAATTTGGAGCAGGAATTGTAATAGGTAGTGAATGGGGCTAGTGTAATATTTACCACATCATCCTTCAACTACCAGTACAACTACTACCACGACCACCACCACAGTAGCTAAAATAATGTCACTGCTATCTGTGTTACCATCGGAGTAGGCAGAGAGTCGTGAGCCAGAAGATTTGGTTCCGCATGGCTAGTGCTGTTGCCACAGACTGGTCAGGTTAGGATGTATAATTTCACTTGCCGACAGAAGAACGCCATAACCTTACCGGCGGTCTTCACATGAGAGCACTATGGTGTAACAGCCCAACCACAACTATTACTACTGCTGCTACTTTAAGTGGGTAAAGCAGTTACTGTGACTTAAAGCTGTCTCAGTTAATAGTTTGCCCCCCCCCCCCCCTAAATTCACCGACAACTCTTTTCCTCATTGAAGTAGTTGGGAAAAAAAAAACACTTGAAAAGCAAATGAACACAGGAAAAAACACCATAATTAGGAAATGAAAGCCATGGTAAACAGCACAGCTTAAAATTCCAACGCAGATGAAATAACTAAATCTAAATGAAAATAAATGGAAATCTATGAAATTTCAGCGTAACCATGCAATCGGAAAGTTTTAAAATGCAATCGTAAGTATGTGAAATGGTCAAATTTAATTATCAAATGGTCTACCCATTTACTTGACTTTTTTTTTAAAAAGTATTAAGGCAACATGGCTAGTGCTGTCACCATGACAGAGCAGATGAGGATATTATTTTAGTCCGGGGTAAAAAAAAAAATTAACTACTGCGGATTCGAACCCTGGTCTCCCGCACAGGAACCCAGTGTTCTAACCATTCGACCAAGCAGCCACTTAATCGAATCAACGAAAAGAGAATTTAACTATTTTAAGTGTCTGCCGTGTCCCGATTATAACACAACTCAAAACAGCAGGCAATTGTTTTCTCATAGACAGATATTAAATATATTAATGAAACTGCACAACAAAAGAAATCGCACGTGTCTAACACGGTTAATGTCGCAGTCAATGTATGCGCAGACGTCGAGATAGTCCCTGATGCCCCCCCCCCCTCTTTTTCCCTACCAATCCATGCTACTTTTCAACTCATCGAATGATGTTTGAAAAAAAAAAAAAGAAAATAGAAATCGTGTCTAATATAGTTATTGTGGCAATCACTGCCTGCACAGATATAGATATAGTCTTGTTTGCTGTACCACGACCTACTCTATGTATTAGAGGAGGTGTTGGCTGCACGGTGGATGCGCAATTACTAACGTGGCTATAATTAGAAATCACTAAAATTATAAATATTAGTTTCGAATATTATGGCTTAAATTGTGGTCACCTATCTCTAACAGTGACAGGTTGAATTTCAAACCATGATGATTCAACATGCGGTATCAAAACAAACATATCCTGAAAATTTCAGCTAAATCGGTTCAGTAGTTTTCGAGTCTATAGGGGGCAAACAAACACACAAACATTGATTTTTATATATATAGATATAGATAAGATAGATAGTCTGGTTTTTCAACTTTTGAACACGCACCATATAATTGTGTCTTTATATTAGTGGTCGTTTAAATGGTGCTATTAGCACGGTAACAAAAGTGGTTATTTGGTTATCACATGCTTAAGCTGTTTGTATTTTTATAGCAGACGGAAGTAAAGCTACAACTGTACTTGTAAATAACAAAGTAAGTCGTAAAAAATAGAAAAGCGGAGGTAGCGTTAGTAAAATATAAACAAATTAGGAAATGAGAACTTGAAAATCACGTGTAAAGCTTTTTAAGTTCTCTTAAATTTAAGTCATTACCCCCCTCCCCTCCCCTCTTCCACCGACTACTGCTCTCTCCCTCTTCGAAATATTTGAAAATCATTACCTGGCGATATTTGTTGTTGTTGCTGTAACTGACATTGACATCCCTGTTCATCTGGACTAAAATGGGGAGCAGGAATTGTAATAGGTAGTGAATGGGGCTAGTGTAATATTTACCACATCATCCTTCAACTACCAGTACAACTACTAAAATAATGTCACTGCTATCTGTGTTACCATCGGAGTAGACAGAGAGTCGTGAGCCAGAAGATTTGGTTCCGCATGGCTAGTGCTGTCGCCACAGACTGGTCAGGTTAGGATGTATAATTTCACTTGCCTACAGAAGAACGCCATAACCTTACCGGCGGTTTTCACATGAGAGCACTATGGTGTAACAGCCCAACCACAACTATTACTGCTGCTGCTACTTTAAGTGGGTAAAGCAGTTACTGTGATTTAAAGCTCTCTCAGTAAATAGTTTCCCCCCCCCCCCCCCCCCCCCCCCCCCCCCCCCCCCCCCCCCAAATTTACTGACAACTCTTTCCCTCATTGAAGTAGTTGGGAGAAAAAAAAAACTTGAAAAGCAAATGAACACAGGAAAAAAAAAAACCATAATTAGGAAATGAACGCCATGGTAAACAGCACAGCCCAAAATTACAACGCAGACGAAATAACTAAATCTAAATGAAAATAAATGAAAATCTATAAAATTTCAGCGTAACCATGCAATCGGAAAGTTTAAAAATGCAATCATAAGTATGCGAAATGGTCAAATTTAATTATCAAATGGTTTACCCATTTACTTGTCTTTTTTTTTTTTTTTTTTAAATATTAAGGCAACATGGCTAGTGCTGTCACCATGACAGAGCAGATGAGGATATTATTTTAGTCCGGGGTAAAAAAAAAAAATTAACTACTGCGGATTCGAACCCAGGTCACCCGCTCAGGAACCCAGTGTTTTAACCATTCGACCAAGCAGCCACAGAAAACTCAACTATTAGAGATGTGTGTCCCTACTAATGTGTCCTGATTAAAACACAATTCAAAACCGCAGGCAATTGTTTTCTCGTAGACAGATACTCCAGATATATTATTGTAACAGCACAACAATAGAAATCGCACGTGTCTAACACGGTTAATAAAGTTAATGTCGCAGTCACTGTCTGCGCCGACGTCGAGATAGTCCTTGATTGCCCCCCGCCTCCCCCCCATCAAAGTTTGTTTGAAGAAAGAAAACAGAAAATAGAAATCGTGTTTAATATGGTTATTGTGGTAAATATAGAGATAGTCTTGTTTGCTGTATCTCGACCTACTCTATGTATTAGAGAAGGCGTTGGCTGCACGTAACTCGCCGGCAAATGGCGGAAGCCTTGCATTCTGACTACGGCGGCGCATGCGCAATTACTAACGTGGCTATAATTAGAAATCACTAAAGTTATAAATATTAGTTGCGAATATTATGGCATAAATTGTGGTCACCTATCTCTAACAGTGACAGGTTGAATTTCAAACCACGATGGTTCAAAACCCGGTATCAAAACAAACATATCCTGAAAATTTCAGCTAAATCGGTTCAGTAGTTTCCGAGTCTATAGGGGGCAAACAAACACACAAACATTGATTTATATATATATATATATATATATATATATATATATATATATATATATATATATATATATATATATATATATATATATATATATATATATATATATATATATATACATATATTCATATATATATATATATATATATATATTTATTGTTACGTCTTTCTTGGCATTGACTCTACTTATCAGTGACCCACAAAACTGTCACTCTAGTTTGATTCTCTAGCCACAGTGATGGGAGTTTGAGATCATAACTATAAACTTTATTTTGCCTTCAGTAGGGTGACCATATGTCCTGTTTTTACAGAGACAGTCCATGTTTTTTTTTATCTATGGGTGCAACAGCCACCCTGTCAGGACACCCATAAAACACCAATTGTCCTGTTTTATACAAAACTAGGAATTAGCTCAAGAACAGAAAATACGCTTGTAGTCATATATGTAGATCTTATTAGGTTTCATAGTTTTTAAAATACTTTTAATGCTTGAAATGTATTGATAGGAATTTTCACTGCAGCGCGTTTATTTTAAGTGCAGTTAAAGAGCATTTGTTTCGTTAAAACCATTGTTAAGTGTATATTAACCCTTTAAAACAAATGATCCAGAAAGAAGGGGGTGGGGTTAAAGTGACTTGCTTTGGATGTCTCATTTTCAGCTAAAAATATTAGTAGGATGTCTGCAGCTCCAGATATTAGTAGGATGTCCCATTTTCAACTCAAGATATTATGATCACCCTAGCTCTTAGGCAGAAACCCGACCTGCTTCCATGGTGCAGTAACTCGATTTGCATTTTTAAGTTGTCTAGTGCAGGGCCATGGTTAGGCATGTGCAGCTGCACAGGATGGCAAACGTTTGGGAGCAGAAAGATTTTTAGGGCGGTAAAATATAAATAGTAAATGAAATGTTTTTATTCTTACTGCTAACAATATAGTTGTATAGTTGTATTAAATAAGATAACAATGTGCTAGATTCATCGTAAGAGGCGCACGCACACACATGCACGCAAGCAGGAGTGTTTTAGATGTGAATCCTTAGTCATAATTCCAGATTCACCACAAACAGGTCACACCATAGATGCTAATTACCTACACCCATGAAAAGCATTAAAAATGCTTTGTAACGATTCAAAACTAGTAAAAGAGATCATTTCCTGCCAAATTCAAGAGCTTAAAACATGCAGTAAATGCCCAAGGTAGCCTCAGAAGGTACCAACACCAGCAGTCCACCACTAGAACTGCAGTTCCCTATATATATATCACAATTACTCTTCTGTATTATATATATTTAACAAATTTTAACAAAATTAACAAAAGAACACGAGTGAAGACTAACCACCTGTGAAATGAGATGTTTGAGAATGGCTGCGAATAAAACCAGAAGAGATCGAGTGAGAAACGATGTGATTACAAGAACTATTGGAACCATACCCATCGTTAAATTTATTGAGAAGCAAAGAATGAAATGGTTTGGTCACCTAATGAGAATGGAACCAACAATGCCAGCATCAAGAGCATACAACATGAAAATCGAAACACCAAGAGGCAGGGGAAGACCAAGAAGAAGATGGATTGAAGGAGTCACGGACAACTTGAGACTTCATAACATCACGACATATGAAGCGACTGAGCGCGCCCTGGCTCGGTTGCCGCAGATTTTGACAAAAGAAGAAGAAGAACAAAAACTTTAATTATTTTATGTCCTCAGACCTGTTCGTGTATGTGTCAGTATGAGCACCAACATGAAACTTATTGGCAAGCGGTTCCCTCTGATTGCACGATACAAGGTATTGAATAAAGAATCTACACACAGTAAAATAATTATTGTTACTAATATTGTTATTATTTGAGCTACTATGTTGAAGTATTATGCATTCCTATTGTTAATGAATGAATGCTTGAATCAAGAAATGACATCACTGCGCTTGGGACATTTCCGCACTTGCTCAGTCTCTTTTTTCAGCAGCCAGCAAAGGGAAAGCAGCTGAGCAACTTCTGCTTGTGCCATCCAAGAGCTGCCTCTATTCAGCCTATCTCCTTTGCTATTCCATAAGGCCTCATGTAGTTTTTCCCTGTCCATTGGGATTTCAAGGTATATTTTTGCCTGCAATACCTTGTAACATTTGTACATGGACAGCAATGCCAGTAATATGCTGCATGCAGGCAGTTGGCGTTTCACCACGTACATTCCAGAAAGACTTGCAGGGCTTCATTTTGTATGCATTTCAGCTTCTCTAACCGTTCACTGTCACAGAAATAATCAGTTGCTGATAATGTGTATAGAGAATTTTCTGTTCCTTGTCTGCTGGTGCCATCGCTTTTAGCGCATTAAGCATTCCATTTTTTTTTTTAGATTATGATTGTATACTACCTCTTTCATTAATATGTTACGATACTGTGTACTATTTTTCTTATTGTTTTGTAATACAATGCGTTCTTTTTGTTAGTGTTTTAAAGTAAAGTATTTGTGTGTGTTAATGTATTTGTAATATTATGTATTTAATTTGGAAGATTGCATTCATAATAATAATCCACCTATGTTAAAATAATGCAGGCTGGCTTAAACCGTGATGGCAAGATGAATAGCATTGATCTTGAGATCTTTGCTGACAATGGATTTAGACCACCTATCATGATCGAGGAGTTGTTGCATTCACTAGACCAAGGTATGTAGGGGCAGGAGAATGTTACAACAGTATTGTTTGTTGCTAGACTTTAAACGGACTTGAATATCTTTTTTTAAAAGGTAGTACAGTGTCCTTAAGTTGAGTTGAGTTGAGTCAAGAATTGACAACACAGCACAGGGCATTCCCATTTGTGTTCTGTCCTCATCTTCGGCAGCCAAGGCAGAGTTCCAATACTGATGGTACTGGTCACAATCTGGTTATATGTTCATCTTGTCTTTCCCACTAGGGTAATGAGCCGGCCAGACCCTCTGGTTACACCCAGGTGCCTCATTCTCTCCAGGTCATAATAATCTTCTTTCTCTATTGATTCCGTTGCTTGTTCCTAAAGGGCCTTGACCACATCTGCCTTGTCATATATATTGTGTCCTTATAATATAGTGAACAGAAGATCAGTAATTAGGGCAATTTTTCTTTGTCTGCCAATGATCTTCCAATGGAGCATAGGTCCTCAATTAACTCAGTTTAAGCCTGTTGTACACTTTGTAACTCTTTCAGTTGCAGACAATGCACCATAAACATTAGATATGTATTGGTACATCTGTCAACATATTGTGTATATATGTACATCTTAAGTACAGTAAGACAGACTAATTCAATCCAGCAACGTCTTGCTCTTGACCTTTCCCTTCAATATGGTTTTTAAAAGTGTTTTATGTCTTTTAATGTGGCCAGGTTTTTGTCTCTTCTTTATTTATTTCAGTAGTTCTATCTTTCATTTGCAGCCTTTCTAGAACCACTGTATTTTTTCTTTCTTTTTGTTTCCATAAAATTTAGCCTATACTTAGTAAAGTAGATTATTCCTACAATAAAAAAAAGAATTTGAAAAAAAAAGTAGTTGCAGAGGAAGATAAGCAGGGTGTGACCAAGAAAGAAAATGTAGTTTTCTAGAACCACTGTATTTTTTCTTTCTTTTTGTTTCCATAAAATTTAGCCTATACTTAGTCAAGTATATTATTCCTAAAGTTTAAAAAAGAACTTAAAAAAAATAGTTGCCGAGGAAGAGAAGCAGGGTGTGACCAAGAAAGAAGATGTAGTTTTATGTCTTACTTGGTATGGGGGGATTCTACAAAGTAGGTTCAAACAGCTCCTAGAATTTGTTTATTGTGAAGATATAAGTAATAATGCAACTGTTTACATTACATTTTGTTCAGAGTAGTTACATTTGGCAACTGCACACTTTTGCCAACATTTATAAAGTTGTTGGAAATATTCCTGGAACCCATTCTTTGACACAGCACAATACACAAATTATGGGAACTTTCTGAGGCTACATCTTTGATCTGACAGTATTTCTATGATGGTCAGTGCCATAAGATATGGTCTATGTGGAAAAAACAAAAGGACAGCTTCAAATAAAAGCACGATTATTTTACTCTGTTAAAGACATTTTCTATATTTTGCTGCAACAACTCTACTTGATTAAAATGTTAAAGAAATATTTTTTTAAATCATTTGTTTGCACACCTTCATTAAATTGTTGTATTATGTCATGTTTCAAGCACCATGTAATCCTTAGTTTAGTATTTTATTGCTTTATACACGTGTTTTAGTAATTGGTCGTAGCTATAATTTTGTTACTTATTGAAGAAAGAGTATTTTTGGTTGATCATGTGTTTCTCAATGGTGATAGGTATTCGAATGTGCTTGTTCAACAATTTATGATGCTAATTCCTGATACTCAAGTGCCTCATCCTAATACTGTTAGCAATTAAACCAGTAGAACTGATAGTGAATAGAGCTGTAATGTGGAAAACAGTACCCCGAATAAGACCCATTACAGCAGCATATGTTGCATTAACTCCACAGACAGTAATTACAAAAATAGGAATAACAAAATTTTCAACAACAAAAATACAGTCATTAAAAATATATCCTGTATGTAAATATATAATTTACCTTTTGTGAAATGTTTTTGTAAATCTCTCCATGTTCCTGTACATTTGCTGTTCTAGTATACGGTAAATGCTTCATTGGTACATTGTTTGCAAAACATTATATCTTTTATGACTCTAATATTTAACATTCTTAGGTTACTTTGTCTGAACATTCTCATCTCATACAGGTGCTGTCCACTGGGAACCTGGACGAGAATGACAAGTCTGTGGATGGATGTTGCTAATAGGTATCCATCAGATATCTTAGAATCGACATTGCTTGGCACCGCACTTGATCTAGACCTGTGGGCAGTTTACTGGAGTTCAAACCTGTGCATCTCTTTTGTATAGAATGAAACTGTCCAATCTGAGGCCTGTGAGATGTCGATATGCAGAAGAATATGTCATATTTCATGGAAGTAAAAACAATGAAATGCATAAATACTAAAAAAGGCTAGGATTGGAAACAAACTCTGATGAAAGAAATTAAAAGGAGTCGGGTAAGATATTTCAGTCACACTAACCATGTGGCTGCAAGAAAACTAAATCTAGTTACTTTCCCTTGTGAAACAGTCCTGTAAATGCTGATGTATCAGCACGTCCTCAGCGAGTAAATATAGATTTAGACTAAGCTGCCTAATGTTTTATTTCTCACCCAAAAAAATTTTGAATTTTTGTTTTGAAGGACAGGGGAAGTGGGGTTTCAAGGTCATGTATTACTTTAAATGCAAATTGTGGGAACGACACCTTGTACTACATTCATCGAGAAACAGCAGATCAAGTGGTTTTGCCATCTTGTTAGAATGCAGCAAGATCAAATACCATCACAAGCACTACATCTCAGAATATCAACTAAAAGAGCAAGAGGACGGCCGCGGAAAACATGGATCGACAATATTAAAGACACTCTAAGCCTTCACGGCATGACAATAGCCAGTGGCAGCCAACGTGCACTGGATCGCAAATTATTCCTCCCCACGGCGCTTAACGGCAGAAGTGGTACATGATGATGATGATGATTACTTTAAATGGTAACACATGATGGTTTTTATTTCTTTTAATCAAGAGGCTGTGTACCCAGAAGTAATAATTCCATTTCCTAACTAGAAATAGTTATTAACTGTTCTGTAATTTTAAGACTTTTTAATATTCATTAAATGTTTTGAAATGTAGGTTCACTCCCAGCTTCTCTGATCATTGAGACAATAATAGAGCATGCAGCAAAAGAATTAAACAAGCATCCAATCATCTTTAAGGAGATGAACCTGTATGAAAATGGCCAGGTTTGTTGCAGCATATAATTGTTTGACTGTTTTAATTGATTTAACACATCATCCTCATTGCATATGAAACCAGTCATTGCATATGAAACCAGTCATTGCATATGAAACCAGTCATTGCTTATGAAACCAGTCATTGCATATGAAACCAGTCATTGCATATGAAACCAATCATTGCTTATGAAACCAGTCATTGCTTATGAAACCAGTCACTGCATAAATGCTTCTTACGTGATTTAAGGGCTATTGTTGCCATTATATGTGTTTGACATGGTTCTTCTCAAACGTTCAGCTCTTAATTTGTCCTTAGTACTTTTCTTCTTTATCAGTATTTCCTATCGAATTTCTCCCAGTGTGATCCAAATTGCTGGGATAGTGTTACATTTTCATTAGTAGTTTCCAGGTAATTGTTGCTATTTACTATGGATGTTCAAAGTATTTACAACATTTATCTCAGAAATCTGGAATTGGCAGCATAGTGGCTGGTTGCTTGCCTGCCAGCACAAAGGTCTTTGGTTCAGATCCACATTAATTCAGATTTTATTCAAAATTTATCTTGGCTGCCTGGTTGACCCAGCCTAAAATGTATACCAGATAGTGTCTTGAAAGGAATGAAAAATGTTTTGGCTTGTTTAATAATTGTCTGGAATTCACAGCAGTATGTTAAAATTGGTTCTTCTTCTTCTTCATATTTACCAGCTGTAAGCTCTGGCAGAAAGTTCTTTAGTTTTGTTCAAGAACCTGAATGTTGCAAGCACACCTGTATGAAGACTCTTGATTCCTTGCCCCTAAGAAAGATTTACTCTGACTTCAAGGATGCCCCTATTTAGTTGACTCCTATGACATGCTTGTTGGGAAGGTAGTCAGCCTATTTTTGTTTTCCATACAGTGAGGCCCTGGAAAGATGGAGGAAAAAAAAACTGGTTCTATATAAAATACAAGAACTCTCAAATTTCTAGTAACAGAGCTTACTTGCATTAGATGTCTTCATTTTATAACAGAAGATCTCTTTTGTTCTGTTCTAATCTTTATTTCTATAATACAAATTCAGTCTTATTTTGTCCATGTGTCCATATACATTTTATACTGTCCAACATTTAGCTGCTTATATTAGGGCTGTAATCTGGACAGTAACTCTTAAGAAGTAAAGGAAACAGGCATGATACTGACCACATCAACCAGTCAGAGTCGGTTAGTCTATAAAACCATGTCAGTAGTTCATTCCAAAAGTCCTGCCTAGCTTCAAAAATCTGTTAAGTCAGTTCAAAAATCTGTTAAGTCATTCAAAAATCTGTTCAGTCAGTTCAAAAATTTGTAAAGTCAGTTAAAAAATCTGTTCAGTCAGTTCACAAATCTGTTCAGTCAGTTCAAAAATCTGTTCAGTCAGTTCAAAATTCTGTTCAGTCAGTTCAAAAATCTGTTCAGTCAGTTCAAAAATCTTTGAAGTTAGTTCAAAAATCTGTGAAGTCAATAACCATTCATGTGAGTTGTTGTAATTTGGCATGCATCCTGTTAATAATCACCTCCTTGTATGATTTTATTTTTAAAGTAAACAAACATCTAGTTTTTAATTTTACCTTATTTGCGGTGTATGAAAAAACAGACATCCATTTAAAGCAAACAATCAGATTGCTTACTGTAAATTGAGTAAGGAAAACTTTTAAAAACATAAAATAACATGCATTTTATAGGTATTTCACTCAGAGATGGTCATCTGCAGCATTAGTCCCCTGCAATTTTGCATATTCTTTATTGAATGGAGAATAGGCAGTCAAAATAATCAGCACGCATCGCTGCACATGTGAATAATGTCAGTTACTCTATATTATATTTTTTAGGAGTACAGAAATGATAAGTCAAACAAAGATAAAAGAAATTCACAGCTTTAAGAACATATCATATGACAAATTGTCAATTTTAGAAATATAAGGACATGGGAAATCTAAGGTCACAAGCAAAAATATTTGTTGTTCTGTACAGGAGTTTTCTAGATGCTAGTTAAAGTGTGAAGGCATGCATTTTGAAATGCACTATAGCATTATGTGCCCAATGTGCCACTGGCATATAAAGAATACAATAAAATCTGAGAAACATCTCTCTTTTCTACAAGCATTTCCTCATTCGTTCATTCACATTTCAAATTTAAATGAAACTAATCTAAGAAGAGTCTATAAATATTAGAAACTACATCTCAGTTTTCAACAAACATTTCCTCATTCGTTCATTCACATTTCAAATTTGTATGAAACGAATCCAAGAAGAGTCTATAAATCTTAGAAACTACATCTCAGTTTTCAACAAGCCTTCCCTAATTTGTTTATTCACCTTTCAAATTTTTATGAAACTAATCTAAGATGAGTCTATATTTATTAGAAACCTCATCTCAGTTTTCATCAAAATGTTTCTAATTTGTTCATTCACATTTTAAATTTATATGAAACTAATTTAAGAAGAATCTATAAATTTTAGAAACCTCATCTCAGTTTTCAGCAAGCTTTTCCTAATTTGTTCATTCACATTTCAAATTTTTATGAAACTATTCTAAGAAGAGTCTATAAATCTTGGAAACCTCATCTCAGTTTTTAGCAAGCTTTTCCTAATTTGTTCATTCACATTTCAATTTTGTATGAAACTAATCTGAGAAGAATAAAAATCTTAGAAAACTTTTTTTTCTACAAGCTTTTCCTAATTTGTTTATTCACGTTTCAAATGTGTATAAAACTGATCTGTCTTGCAGACTGACCTTGCAGGAGTAACGCTGACACACTGTACCATGCGAAATGTCTGGCAACGACTGAAACAGACAGCTCAGGTAGAAAGCAGAATGAAGGATGTGGACACCTTCAACAAGGTAATTTACCAAGTTTGAGGCCTTCATCTGTCAGATGTTGCACTTTTATTGTTGCTGTGTTTGATTTTCTCATATAATTTATGTATTTTTTTTTTTTTCTCTTTTGTTCTTTTGAATGTTATTTGTTAAAAAGTGTCAAATATGTACAAGAATAAAATACCAAAGACAAATATCAGATTGTCCTTAATGTAGTGGCTAGATGTTTGCTTGCTGGCCTTAAGGTCTTTGGTTCAAATTCACATCTTGATGGATTTAAAAAAAATAATTTTAGCTCCCAGATTACCCCAAACTAAAATCGGTACCAGGCAATGTCTTATCTAGTAAAGTTGACCTGCATAATGTTGACCACTTTGCCCATAGAATGCTGATTTATCAATAAAAACATGACTCTAGCATCATATGTGCTATGTGTTACTTGTATAAGAAAGGTCAGTATTGCGCCAGCTAACTTTACCTCCCAGACACTTTCCTGATGATCATGTAAAGTTGTGTTTATCTAGGAACCCATGTCAGTTGTTAGCAATCTTCATTACACCAGGCCTGCAGGCAAATATGTTACCCACTGGGTTGCTACAGGTGTAACTGTTTATGTTCTAAAAAACACAGCAGCTGCAATTTATTAATTTCTGATAATTTTTATGTGTGTTAAACATCTTTTTTTTTTTTTTATGAGACAGACTGTATTTCTTTTTTAAAGATGTCTTGTGTCTTTAATCGTGTGGAAACAGTGAATCTAGGAATTTAGTTTTTCATTTATTGCCTCGCTTGGCCAACCACTTGGTATTTCTGGGACTGAAAGAGTTAAAACCTGGATTGGAATAAAATGAATTTGCAGAACTAATAAATCAATCAAAAAAGATTTTAATGAGTTGTCATTCAAAAATATTTGCAAAAGTAATTTATATCGGGAAATATTGAAAAAGTGAGAATGTAAAGCCATTCATTTCTAATTGTTTTTTTAAGAAATAGAGAAAAGGAATAAGAAAGAATGTATTGTCAGTATGTTGGCTAGTAAGATTTTTTAAAACTACAACTTTCATTTCACATTTATCTTCCCCCTCTTGCTGCACCTACTTTTATGGCTTCTGCTTCTTCTCCTTCTCTATCTTCTTTGTGAATGACTGTGTATTATGGGTAAGCAGCCTGGAGCCACTAGGCATGAACGTTTCACTAAGGAAAAAAAAATGTGTGGTTAATCAACATAGAATGGGCGCGATCAGCCTTTTTAAGCTCATACAACTATTGAATAGAAGTTCTGAGCATCTACAGATCTGTCCACAGTGCTATCATGACAATCCTGTCTAATCACCATTCAGTCTTCTTCATCTTCTATTTTTCAACATTATCATTAGGATCATTATTATCATCATCATCATCTTTAACCCTTTAAAATGGCAAGGATCTTTATTACAGGCATGACATCTTTACATCTCTTCATCCTTATTATGCTTTCCAATTCTCAGTCTGCCATTACTTTGTATTTTTATTAAAACAATAATTATTGCTGCCAGAATATTTTACTGATTTATAATTTTGAATTTATTTTCTGACAACAAGAACAATCTGTGGAGGAAACGTGGAATCACTATGACGGCTGTCAAATATGCCATGGTTTACCCGCCACCTGGTCACACTGTCAATGTGTCCGCCTTCAGTGGAGATGGAACTGTGTCTGTCATGGTGACCGGAACAGAAATGGGACAGGGCCTTTTCACAAAGGTATGGAAAAAGAGCACTCTTCTTTTTTCTTTTTTGTGTTTTTCCTGTCAGTAGTTTTAAGATGAGAAGGCCAAGGGCATCTATGAATTCTTTGGTGCAGCGCATGTTTCCCATTGTTCCATACAGCTCAGTTTCCACTGGAATACCACCAGGTTAAACCTGGGATCTCTTTACTACATGTAATGAGCAAGTCTGTGGTTAGTTGGTTGCGTATCCTATACAGGACGTTGCAGAGCCATCCCTAACAGCCCCTGGCTGTTGTGTGGTTTCTCTAGGCAATTTACATCCAGTAGTTTGCCATTGCTTTCTGGACGGTCGGCTTTCTTGATACCACTGTCGAAACCAACGCAAGGCGCATTGCCCGCAGCTGGGATCGAACCTAGCATCCCGGCATTATGAAGCGAAGCGTTCGCATCGACAGCCACAGAGCCTACAAGTCTGTAGTACATGTTCAGTATTCTGTGGTTTCTGATCATTTAAGCAAAGTTCTAAAACCTCAGTCTTGAATATTTTGTATGTATGGATGCAGTCTATTGTGTCCAGTATGTAATCTAAATATAATGGTCTGTTTTTTGTTTTTGGGTGAGGAGGTTGAGTGAGTCTTCAGGATTGTGTCCAGGATGTAGGTGTTCCAGTGGACACTGTTCATCATCATTATCATGAAGTGCCTTGCTGACTGGCACGAGCAGTCGTGTTTCTCAAAATCAGGTGCTCTCTAACAGCATGCATCAGGTTCATGTGCTGCTGAAACCCATGGGAGTCTGTGATTGTCTTTCTCTTTCTTTCCACAGTCTTTACAGTTGTTACAACATAGTCCACTATTGCTTTCTCATAATTTGGCCAATTTTATAGTTGACCATTTTACATATCTGGGATCCACAGTGAAGAACAAACTATCACTGGGCCAAGAAATCAACATCCTGATAAGTGAGGCAGTAACAACAACAGATTACCAAACACAAAAACTCTTGTCTGTCACACTTGTGTTCTCAGCACTCTTCTTACAACAGTGAAACTTGGTCAGCTTATTCACGAGAAACACTAAACAGCGTTCACATGTGATGTCTCTAGAGAATACTTGGCATTAGGGATAGGACCTCATCACAAATACTGAATTATTGGGGAGCTCAGTGATCAGTCTCTGAAGGCTTAGGTGGCTGGGTCACACTTTAAGGTTGGAGAATAGTAGTCCTAAAGGACATTCTCAGTGGTGAATCACAGATAGGTGTCAAATGTCAAGGTAGGCCTCTAAATCAATATAAAGATGTGTGCATGCAGAACATGAATAAAACAGGTATTGAATTGACCAGTTGGCACTTAATGGATATTGTGGTTAACATCATGCTGGCTACCTTTACTATCATGGTCATTTTCCTGGCACCCATTTTAAGCTGGGTCGACCTGAGAGCTAAGGTCAGTTATAAAAATTGGTTTGAGGAATTTTCAAACCCCTAATTGTATGTACATCTTTGTTTTATGTTGAGTTTCCTGATTGATCTTTTTTTTTTCCTTCTGGCAATGTCATAGTTAGGTCCCATAATAGAAGATGAAGACTAATGCTATAATTTGTTAAATACTAATGTTTCGGTAATATTTCACCAGTTGCGGTTCTTACTGGGAAAGGTTTAACAAACGTAAGAGACAGAAAGAATTAGGATTCATTGCAGCCAACCTTCATTGTAGGGATGGCTCCATATTGATTGACTGAGATAGTGAAAGATCAGATAAGTAGATTACAGAATTGGTCACTGAATTTCTGCCTGAAATAGCCAGACTAAAAAACAAAAAAGTGGTTCAAGGATGTAAACATAATGGTATGAATGGATCAGACATAAACAGAACACTTTTATCTGGTACCTTTAACTTGGAAAATGACCCAGGCATACAGTATAGACCTTCTGCCTGACTATACAGTCACAACAACAATTCCGGGTATAGACAGAAAGGCTGAAGAATGTGAACTAATACTGCATGCAAAGACCCTTGAACATGACTGCAACTTTTACCCCAAAACCTGAATGGACATACGTATACACCCATGGATCATTGGAGGGAGCATAAAAGAACAGAGAAGCTGGATTGGTCATCATGTTGCAAGATGGGACAACTGTAGAACCATTGTGTGCCTTTTGAAGACCCTCAACGTACTTTAGAGCAGAGCAGCAAGCAACTGTTGATGCAACCAAAGTGTTTGAGGAAATCAAAATTAATAACAGCAAAATTTTAATCCTTTGTGACTGCATCTCAGTCCTCCAGGTGACTCAGAGGGATCGACGAGACAACATGGAGAGAGAACTGACCTGCTATCTAAAAACAATCAAATCATTCTCCAGTGCATCCAGGCCACTGCAGCATACCAGGAAACAGGTTAGCAGACAGACTTGCTAAAAATGAAACAAAGGAGAAGCAACTCACCCATTCATTGTCATTTCCAGAAATCAAAACACTAATCAAGGAAAAATATATGGAACTGTGGAGAGAACAAACCAACAGTAAACATCCTCAAAACCCCATCAGCAGACTCAACAGAAAGCAACATACAACAATTTTCCATCTATGGACAGGGCACTGCAGGCTTAACTACTACATGCATAAAAAAGCACAGTGTGCCTGTCAGACAGAACCACAAACACCTGAGCACATTCTGCAGACCTACCCATTCTACCTACAACTTCAAAAAGGAACCTAGCCTAATAAGCAAAATGTGCAGAGCAAGTTATGGGGAACAATGAAGGACCTGCAGCTGACATGCTTATCTGAGCATATGGAACTGAACACAAAAAAGAAGAAGATCTGGTACTTGACAAAATAATAGATTTTGATGTATATGTTCAGTCTTTTTTTAAAGTGTATTTTATGAAGCTCTGACGTATTAATGGCTTTACATAAAATATGAAATGATTCATATCATTCTGCAGGTGTCACAGGCTGTTGCCAAAACACTGAATATTCCACTTGATTTTATCAAAGTCAGGCCTTTGCAGAACAACACGCTCCCTAACCCCCTGTTCACAGGTGGCAGCACAGCAAGTGAAATGTGTGTCCAGGTATGCTTTCCGCGGTTAAGGTGTTTTTTGGTGTGATAATTAGATTTATGTTCTTATTTGTTTACATCCTGTGTTACAGACTGATAAGTACAGATACATTCCATCCCTAGCTAATTGTCTCAGCTTGTGAACTTTCATACCTAGTGCGTCTTTTATACCTTTTTATATTCTGTTTGGCCACAATGCTGGTCAACTGTTCTCTCCAATCTATCATGGTATTTACTATGGCCGAAGTATTTTAGTTTCCAAGAAATAATACTGTGTTCATATCCTGAAAAATATCAGTATTGTTACTTTACTTGATCTATGATGCTGTAAGTATTTTCCTGTAACTTGTGAATCAAAAGCCCCATTATTCCTTTTTAATTACTGTAAAGAAAGTAAATATAACAATTAATATAATAATTAATATAATAACGATGCAGGTGCTACACATGAAAAGATCTAAAGTGAAAGCAATAGACCGCCCTAGGAGAAGATGGATTGATGATGTTAAAGAACTTCTACATTGACATGGAATGACACTAGCCATTGCTGCCCATCAAGCAATGAATTGCAAACTGTTCCTCGCCACAAACCTTAGCTGCAAAAGGTCAAATTGACGATGATGATGAATATAAAATAATAGTAATAGCAAAGCGGTGTAGAATAAAGATTAATATTAATTAAAAACACGTTAGGTAGCAGGGGTATAAAGGCACTTTTAATATCATAAACCAGCAGCAAATTTGCCAGGTTTACCAGGTTCCATTAGAAAAACAAAACTGCAGGTAATAAAACAAAATCAGATTGCAGGGTCAACTGAAAGGAAAATAAAACTCCTAAGGCAGCCATCTGAACCCTTTGGAACACTTCCCATCCAGAATACAGTCCTGAAGACCCAGTCCGCCTACTCACATGAAAGCAACAGACAATTGTATTTAGACCTTGCAACAATATGTCAGGAAGTTCAAGACTTGAGACTCAGAGTTCTGCTCATGCGGACAGCTAAAAGTGGTCAAAATGAGGATGACTGCAATCAAGCTAATACCAAGAAATTAATCATATGAACTGTGACTTAAAAACAAGGTGGGGATGATGTTCTGCTTCCCTATTTCGTTAAGCTTTTGAGTCACAGTTTTTAAAAAATTAATTGCATGTGAACAGGCACCACAGAATACTAACATATGCTGCAGACATGCTGTCAGCATACAGTAGAGAGATCCCAGTCTGGCCTGTAAGATCTGGGCAGAAAACAAGCTGTATGGATCAGTGGAAGAAATGCCTCCTGCCACAGCCTTCATAGACAACATGTGGCCTTCTCATCTGAAAAACACCAGCAGGGTGAAAGAAAAGAAAAAGAAGATACAACTCAGTGAGGGACTACTGGTGTGAGCCTGGCTACATCATCTCTTAGAAAACTTTAGCTAAAAAAATGTAGCAAATTTTGATTAAGTTTTGATGTAAAATGCAGAAACAGAAAAGGGTGGGGGGGGGGGGGGGGTGTTGGGGGGGGGGGATGACTTGAATTTCATTTTTAACCCTTTCTGTCATCAAATGTCACTTAGAGCTTGCTGTCTGTTCCTCTACTCCATTCAAACCCAGTTATTTTTATATCATTGAACAGTTGTTTCCATATCTTGGATGGAATCCAATCCAGTACCTGTAGCCTATCATTGAAATTTAATTTAGGATTTCCTATTTCATTGTCTTTTAGGTGATTTTTATCTTCTTTCTTCTCAGGATGTGACAACTTCCTTGACTCATAACTGTTGATACTAGTAGCTGTTCAAATATTTATTTTACTTAATCATCTTTCCCATTTGATGTTCATCAGTTTCCTCATGCTTTTGTTTTCTAAGTAACTTTCATTCTCTGTCGATGTGGTCCTCTAGGTTTCACTGGCATATGTTTAAGTCACTTCTTTATTTTGTTCTACCCTGTGCCATCTTTTCGTACTTGAACATACACCATTACAAATCCACAGTGAAAATCTAAGGGAGTCCTAGATTCATTGGTGGATATCATATTTAATTATTTCTGTCCCTTGTAGTTTATAGAATAAAAATTTTTATGCTACAGTTAACAACTAACATTCAGTCTTTGTAACATTTTCATAAGCCCTCCATCCCCACCTTCAGCAACCAATGCTACGTCCTCTTTATTTGTTATTTGTGGTTGTTTTGTTGTGTTTTAATCCAATTGTTTTTTAGTAAAGCTAACCTGCATGTCCTTTTTTTCCAACTGTTTTAATGTAAATATTTTCTAGGCTGCTATCAACGCTTGCAATGATCTTAACGAGCGTATCCAGCCAGTTCGGGAGAAGATGCCAGATGCCTCTTGGCCTGAATTACTTGGTGCCTGTAACTTCAGCAGCATTGATCTTTCAGCCAGAGCAAAGTCAGTATTTCCAACCATTGTATATGGATTCTAAACAGTTGAATCCCCTTTGTGAATTTAAATAATGAGGACGAAAATAGTATGTTGCATATATTTTACCTGGCATATTTTTACTGTGACTTTTCAATTGATCAAATGGTTAATCTTAGACTTCCCTGGGAAGATGAACAGCACAACAACAAACAATGTGATGTGTGTATTTCAGCTACTAGGATTTACAATAAGTGCTGCATTATATGTTGAAGTAAGCTCTATGGTAAAGCACCTGACAATATATTTCGTAATATTTGAGATAAGAACTAAAACAGGTCTCAGAACAGTCGAGTTGTTGAGTTGAGTCAAGAATTGATATCACTGCACTCAGGGCAATCCCATGCATGCTCCGTCCTTATCTTCAGCAGCCAGTGTGGAGTTCCAATACTGACAGTACAGGTCACAATATGTACTCACTAACTCAGAACATTTCTGTTATGGATCAGTCTCAAATTTCAGTAACTAGGGCAGAGTTCCAATTCCATAAGCTCCAGTGGCAGCTTGATTAATATTCCTTAATTCTAAGTGATGAGCATTGGCCAGGTCACCTTCTCACTCCCAGCTGCACCATTCTGTCTAGATCATGATGATCTGTTAGCCCTTCTGCCTTGTTTGCTTGTTCGCAAAAGGAGGGCATTGACTACATCTACCTGTTTTCACTGTATTTAAAAGGAAACTTCTTCTTCATCTTCTTTATTCACCAGCTGAGAATTCTGGTCAAAATTTATGTTTGTCATCAACTTCTAGACTTTGGCATTGTTCCGAACTTGAGTGTCGTATACATAGCTGTTTTACATTGCTTTTGTTTTACAGTCAAGCTTATTTGTATGCAGACTGTTGGTTCCATCCTCTCAGGCAGATGTTCTCAAACTTCAAAGAAAACATCATTCCTAACTTTGTTGGCCAGGCTCCGAAATGGGAACATATTTCAAGGATGACAATGGAGAGATGTAGATAGATCTTGACAAGTTTGAGCCCTAGTCCTGGCATGTCCTCACCACATTTGGTGATGCACCTCTGCAAGAAAACAATAATCACGTTTTTTCCCTCCAATTTTTCTCTAATCTGCAGATCTGACAGAGTTGCTGACATGTTCCGCTATCACACTTACTGTGCTGGTGTTGTGGAATCAGAGGTAGATGTCCTCACTGGAGAGTTCCAAATCAAGAGAGTGGATATCATGGCTGACTTTGGGGACAGGTAAAGAGACATATTCAGAGTTCCAGTGACTTATCTGTTTTACTGTTGTTTCAGTTCAGTTATACCCCATGTGGGTTCCGGGGCTCTCTTATAGGGAAAACAAGAATAGAACCACTGCCTACCTAAAAGCATGTTGTAAGAGTCGACTAATTGGAAGCTTTCTTTGAAGTCGAAGTGTGTCTGCCTGAGAGGCAAGGAACCAGCAGTCTGCATACAAATGAGTCAGATCTGTAAAATGTATGCGCATGCAACACTCAGGTTCTGGAACAGGACTGCAGTACGAAAGTGGATGAACAACCAGAACTTTCTGCCAGAGTTAACAGCTGGTGAACACGAAGAAGATGAAGAAGTTCAGTTAAAACTCAATCTTCTGCTGCTTCCCCTTTACAGGCATCATCATCTTAAAACCTTTCTCCTTCTTCTTCTTCTTCCTTTTTTCTTTCTATATTTGTCTTCTTCTTTTCCATTCTATCCATGATGCCTAATTTAGGCTTATTTATAACTTTAGTTTTAGTACTATGTTTTTGATGAGCCTAAAACATGATGACCACTTATGAGGTACTAGGTACTAGGTACTGAGTCCGATATAACTCCTTAAGCACTGCATTTGTTCAACAGTGGCTTGCAGTGATTTAATTATTTATCTTTATACCGAGTCCCACAAAACCCCTATAAGCACTACGTATGCTAAACAATGCCTTGCAGTTATTTATTTATCTTATACTGAGTCCCACGCAAACCGTATAAGCACTACGTATGCTCAACAATGCCTGGCAATGATTTAATTATTTATCTGAATACTGAGTCTCACACAACTCCCATAAGCGCTACATATGCTCAACAATGCCTTGCAATGATTTAGTTATTTATCTGTATACTGAGTCTCACACAACTCTCATAAGCACTATGTATGCTCAACAATGCCTTGCAGTTATTTTTTTATCTGTCCCACACAACTCCCATAAGCACTATATATGCTAAAAAATACTGTGCAATGATTTAATTAATAATCTGTATACTGAGTTCCACATAACCCCTTAAGCACAACATATGGAATACAATGTAATTGCAGTGATTTAATCATTTATCTGTATACTGAGGCTTACATATCCCTCAATCTTTTATATAAATACTGTGTCTCACATAACCTCTTAATCATTATTCACTAAACGCACTACAGTGCCTTGCAGTATATAATCATTTACCTATAGAAGAAGAATCACAATCTCTTACCATGAAAGACATAACCATTAGAGTAATAGCATTAGAGATTTTTCAAGAAGCTGTTGCTTTTCTTTGAATGACAGGGTGCATATGACATCTCTTCATTTCATACCCTTTAGATACTTTCATGGGATTCACTTGACCTTTTAACATTTTAATAATAATCCAATAGGCACAAAAAGTCACATATTTCCCAGATTTATGGTTTCCATCATGGAATCAATCCCGAAGGTTTGCGATATCCATAGATCCGAGCCAAATGATTTACAACTCATGGTTTTTGGATTTTTTTTTTAATAAAAAAAAAACATTAGTATTTAAATTTATTATTTTCTGTAGTCTCTTTCTGCATTTGAGCACAAGCCTTTGAAGAAGCATCTTGTGTCATCCATGGTATTTGCTACATCTGGTTTTCAACCCTTTTCAGTGGCGCTCCCCCCCCCCCCCCCCCCCCCCCCCCCCCCCCCCCACCCCACCCCCCCCCCCCCCCCCCCCCCCCCCCCCCCCCCCCCCCGCCTCCCCCCCCCCCCCCCCCCCCCCCCCCCCCCCCCCCCCCCCCCCCCCCCCCCCGGGAAACCCGACCCCCCCCCCCCCCCCCGAATATATGGCAAGCATTCAATTTTAACAAAAAGATTTGATTGTAAAGAAGAGTAAAATATGGACATTCACAAGCACAATTAAGAAAAACAGAGAAAAAATCTACATAAATCAAAATATTAAATAACATAGAAGAAAAATTTACCAACAACTAGTTTAAATATCAATGTGATGGGTGGTTTATTGTTTTGTCTTGATGATTTTTTGTGTGGTCTGATGTTGGACAAGGCAAAATGGAAATCACTCTCTACATTAAACTGTAAAACTGTTTTGTTTTTATGACTTATTTTTTAATTTTAATTAAACTAAAAATGAAAAGTTAGTATAACAGATTATTACATGTAAAAATGCACTCATTTTCAAGATTGCTTGGTTGTCGCCTTTAAACTTTGTTGCGCCCTCCAGGATGGTTGGCTGCCAGGTTGAAAACCACTGTGCTACATAGAGGCTCACATTCATGGCCTCAGATGTTATATCTTTCCACAACTTGCTTGAGCAACCTCAGGGAAAAGGGAGGGGGGAGGGAGGACACAGAGTCTGAGTGACAGGCCTCCTTCTACACCTTTGATCTTTTGTCTTTTGATTGAAACAGTATGTTTTATTTTATTAGAAAAATATATGTGGTTTTTTTTTTACAGCATAAATCCCACCATTGATATTGGGCAGATGGAAGGTGGATTTGTGATGGGTCTTGGAGCATTTCTCAGTGAAGATCTTCACTACAACAAGAAAACTGGAGAATTGTTGAATGATGGAACATGGGTGAGTTGTTTGACTAAACTATGATGGCATCCTCATAAACTTGTCCTCAGGGGGAAGGGGAGGCAGAAACACAATCAGACTCCTACTAGTATCTTTAGAGTTGAAATTCTCTCTTGCTACTGAAGATGGGGACAGAGCATTATAGGAAAGTCCCAAGTACTGTTATGTCAATTCTTGATTCAACAATCAACAATAAGCAGAATTAGCTTCTTCTTTGTCTTGTAATTAATCTTAATTTACACTTATAGACAAGCTCTTATGATTTTTCTTTTTAAAGTTCTTCTTTGGTTGGTACAGCTATTAATATGGTGTTGACTCCATAGGCTAGTATTCCGTTATTGATGGGCTGTGTAACTCTTTCAGTCCCAAGGAACACACCATACATTCATAGATTTCTACCTAGAAGCTCATTGAATACAAGCTGCACTGAATATACATGCATAGCTACCTAATCCCACTTACAAAACCAGGCAAAGACCATTTCCAGGCTCAGCAGTTTCAGGATTATCACTCTACAAAATACTTTTGGCAAGGTGCCAGAGAAAATTATTGTTGTTAAACTACAATTTTTTGGGAAAGGTAAGAGCTCCTGCCAAAAGAATTTGGGTAGTTACCAGCCACGAAAAGATACTAGTCAAATGCAGTTACTGTTACTTTTGATGTTTATGAGGGGTTTCAAAACAGACAGGAGACTGTTGTGGCTTCACTTGATCTTCAGGATGCTTACAATAGTCAGATATGATATTTTGATGTCTGCACTCATGGAGAAGGGGGTTTGTCCATGGCTTGTGAACTAGATAGCAACTGTCCTGCATTCATGTATGGCTGCCCTTTTCCTAGATACAAGGACCTCAGAACCATGTAATATCTCACCGGGACTTCCCTAGGGTTCTGCAATTTCACCTGTACTAATCAATGTGTATGCAAGCAAGATTGCAGAACTTGAAGCACCAGGTGGTGGAAGGGTATTGACATTTGCAGATGATGTTCTTGCATATAGACAGGGGAATGGTAGGCAACAGATAGTTCAAGAGCTACAGGCAACTACTGTACACAAAGTGACTAATTGGTGTGCTGAAGTGGGTGCTATCGTCAACTCAGAAAAAAATGGCTGTTTTGTGGTGTTCTTTGGACAATAGAATTGTAAGATCTAATGTTTCAAGCCTCACAATTAGGAACATTAACATCAAAAGAGAAAGCAAAATGAGGTACGTGGGTATCATTTTTGATAGAAGTCTCTCCCTTAGGAATCATGTGGATGCAGTTGTGTTGAAATGCCAAAAACGACTCAATGCTCCCAAGATTATGGCAGCAATGGACATGGAACGAAGAATGCTGTTCACACTGCTCCAGCATGTGATCCTGTCAGTGATAAATTATGGTCTTGGAATGCTTACCATATCAAAGAATCAACTGAAGAAACTTGAACACATACCTGATGAAGCTATGCGGATAATTCTGAGATGTACAAGAGATGCCCTGATAGTGTGTATGTGATATATACTTGCACTGCCTACTGTTGCAGTTAGGCTCAAAGCTCTACAAGCAAAGTCCTATCTCAGAGTAGCTGTAGAGAAGAAGCACCTCCTGAATGAAGACCTGGGTAGAGGACTTAGGGTCACATACTGAAGAGAGGAAGGTCTTGGATGGCGCAGGCTGAAGACACAATTAGACGTGCCTGCAGTCTTGATAAATTTGGGCAAGGAGAGTAGTATGTGAAAGTATCCAAGCAAGTTTCAGACGTGTGTAGGGTTCTTATCACTTTAGGTCATGAATGCAAGGACTGGCTAGCTGGTGATGCAGAATCAGAGGCTCAATCAATGATTCATGACAGTTCGCACCCTAGTGATGTGATTATCTATACAGATGGCTCTGTACTGAGGGGCAGACAAGGTGCATAGGGGTTCATAGCAAAGACAAATGGACTTGGCTTAATGCAACAAAGTCTAGCATATGATATCACGTCTAGTTTGAGAATGGAGATGGAGGCACATGCCCTGGTTGTAACTGACTCACAGAAAATTTTGAGAAAGGTGGAGACAGGCAAGCATCATTTCAGATGTCCCAGATAGCTAGCCCCCTTTGGATATTTTATCCAGGTAATGCCGGCGTGTTTGGAAATGAGCAGGTAGATGGACTGGCCGGTTCTGCACCACTTGGTGGGGAACTGATGTATGACAAGCTAGATTTTGTGAGGTGTCTTTGGGAGCAAGTGAACAGTGCTGAGGCACAAACAGATTAATGCGCTCTGAGGAGAATGGTGCTGCAGGGAGTTGCCATGGGATCTGGCCAATGCTCAACACTCAAGGGAAGGGCGAGACGGATAGACAGTCAAACAGTTACTGGTACCATCAGAATTGGAAATCTCCATTTGCTGCTGAAGATGGGGACAGAGCTCTTAAAGTAGTGCTCCATGTGTTTTGATGTTGATTTTTAATTCAACATACGTTCCTCTTCATGGGCTTCTGATGCTAAACCCCAGGGGCTGACAGAGTTAAGGGACCATCTTGCAGGACATGTTCTTTGGACAGAATTAGCTGAACTAAGAGGCCATCATCTCCTCAATATTAGCTGAACTAACAGGCCGTCATCTCATCAATATTAGCTGAACTAACAGGCTGTCATCCCATCAATATTAGCTGAACTAACAGGCCATCATCTCATCAATATTAGCTGAACTAACAGGCCATCATCTCATCAATATTAGCTGAACAAAAAGGCCATCATCTCATCAATATTAGCTAAACTAACAGGCCATCATCTCATCAATTTTAGCTGAACTAACAGGCTGTTGTCTCATCAATATTAGCTGAACTAACAGGCCATCATCTCATCAATATTAGCTGAACTAACAGGCCATCATCTCATCAATATTAGCTGAACTAACAGGCCATCATCTCATCAATATTAGCTGAACTAACAGGCCATCATCTCATCAATTTTAGCTGAACTAACAGGCTGTCGTCTCATCAATATTAGCTGAACTAACAGGCCATCATCTCATCAATTTTAGCTGAACTAACAGGCTGTCGTCTCATCAATATTAGCTGAACTAACAGGCCATCATCTCATCAATTTTAGCTGAACTAACAGGCTGTCGTCTCATCAATATTAGCTGAACTAACAGGCCATCATCTCATCAATATTAGCTGAACTAACAGGCCATCATCTCATCAATATTAGCTGAACTAACAGGCCATCATCTCATCAATTTTAGCTGAACTAACAGCCTGTCGTCTCATCAATATTAGCTGAACTAACAGGCCATCATCTCATCAATTTTAGCTGAACTAACAGGCTGTCGTCTCATCAATATTAGCTGAACAAACAGGCCATCATCTCATCAATTTTAGCTGAACTAACAGGCTGTCGTCTCATCAATATTAGCTGAACTATCAGGCCATCATCTCATCAATATTAGCTGAACTAACAGGCCGTCATCTCATCAATATTAGCTGAACAAACAGGCCATCATCTCATCAATTTTAGCTGAACTAACAGGCTGTCTTCTCATCAATATTAGCTGAACTAACAGACCATCATCTCATTAATTTTAGCTGAACTAACAGGCCATCATCTCATCAATATTAGCTGAACTAACAGGCCATCATCTCATCTTAATAGCTGAACTATGATGATGGCATAATTACTGTCAATATAAATTGAATTGTGAAAACGTCAGTCACTTAAGTTATCAGTCAATCAGTAAAAATTGATTTATTCTGGTGGAGGACAGAGCATCATTTCTATGGTAAAATTATAATAATCTGTACAGCTTTTAGTTTAACTGCTATACTCCTACTGTACATTTACTGTATTGTGAATATTTCATGGAATAATAGAAAATTCTAATTTTTGCCTCTTAAAAAAAAAATTTGAAAATATTTGAAATGATTATTATGTGTAACAAGATTTGTTATTTTTTAAATCAGGAATACAAACCACCAACAACCAAAGACATTCCCATTGACTGGAGAATCCACTTTCTGCCTGATTCACCTAACCAGTTTGGTGTTCTCAGTTCAAAAGGTACAAGTCACCAGTATTTAATGTTATTTTAACATGTAAAAGCTTGAAAAAAATATTGGAAATAATGAGAAGTAGATGATTAAAAAAAAGTTGAGAATGCTATGCTCTCATGGAGAAAACCCAGGTTCAAATCCTTAGTAGAGTTGTGGTTTGTTTGTTTGTTTGTTTTGTCAGAGACACATACACATAAGTCCTATCCTACACATTTCATTACAATTGTAGTAGCCATGCAGCCTAAATCTTCAAGCTCAACAATTCTCTTTCCTACAACCAGTAAGGACAGTTTGATTGTAAATAACAAAACAAAACCTGTGTGGTAGAATGTCATGTAGTAATAACTTCTTTGAACTAAAAGAGTTAATTACACTAAAATTGCTGTTCAGCGTAATTGAAAGCAGAGGTTACTGCAGATCACCAGCTGCACTTTCAATATCGCATAAGGCACTACCAGTTCTGTAGCCACAGACCACTAGGGATTTTCTGAATCTGCACTTCACAACATAAAAAAACACTACTTCACTTTATTTAAGTAGTTTTTCTTCAGACAGTATCTGATCTCTTAATGTATATTTTTTACTCTTATAAAACAAGCCTTTATCTGGTCTTATTATTCAGATCATTCTGGTTTTAAAAAATGATCATGTGAATATGTAAACTGTCCCATTACATTAAAAAGCTGCTTCTTTACACTCTTGAGAAATCATCTAGATGTTCTGCCCTTCAGACATGACTGTTCTTGCAGCTCTCTATTATGCTGCATTTGTTTCTTATCAGGTCCTCTTTAAACTTAATTTGTGCCTCAGTTCCCTAATGGAGCATTTATTTTCTCTTTCTTCTTTAGACAATCCCCTTATTATGTGTATTCATGCTGTTAATAATTAACCCTTTTTGTCTAGACAGTTATTACTCAAGCTAGGACAAACTTGATTGCTTTATGTGCTGTTATGTTGTGAAGTCTTTTGCTGTCAGTGTTTCTTTTAATTTATCTTCCCCTAGGTCTCTACCAGCTTCTTTTTGATTTAAATTTCATGTTCTATGCTCTCAAAACTAGTATCTTTTTATTTGTTTTTATGATATGACCAAACTTCCTAGGTATCCATAAAGTTAAACTGTTGCTTCATCAGTTAGTATAATTAATCCATATACAAACATTGTCATTCGCTCACCGGGTAGTAGAGTGTGGTTAGTTTGACATAAGTCTCCTTAGACCCCGCCCATATATGCAGTTCACTTCTGATTGGTAATTCCTGAGCCCCATAACCTTCACACAAGGTTAGGGGGTGTTCCGCTATGCCGTTGATATCGAGTGTTGTTGAGCACACCAGCGCTTTTAACACTCCAAAAACATGGAGAAACTGGGTCTAACATAACCCCCTAGAGAGTGCTGCAACCTATGTCACAGGCATTCTCTTCCTCGAAATGAAAACATAAATGCAAGAGATCGCAGAAACCAAACAACAGAGAGGGACACACCTGTAACTTTCAGGAAAGTTGACCAGCCCAACAAACTTGTTAATGAAAAGTGACCTACTCTATTTGGAGAGACTAATGTTGAACTAACAGTACAGTTTTATTGTCTGTGTTAGTAATGAGGCAGACATAACTGTCAGCAGCTTGATTTTCTTTAAGAATGAAGTTTGTAACACTTTGGTTTTTTGTGTGAAAGCTGTTGGGGAGCCTCCAGTTGGTTTGGCCATGGGAGCATTGCTGTCCATAAAAAGTGCTGTTGAGAGTGTGAGGGAAGACCTGACTGGAGAACGAACATTTGTTCCCGTTGGTAAGTACAGGTTATCACAGTTGGTAAGTACAGGTTATCACAGTTGGTAAGTACAGGTTATCACAGTTGGTAAGTACAGGTTATCACAGTTGAAAGAAAAAGGACACTCCAAAACCAGTATCAGTGTGTGTAGTCAAACAATCCAATAGAAATGTAACCTCTTCATTATTACCAGTTTTCCCATAAAATAAGACCCAGTCTTATATTAACTCTTTCAGTCCCAAGGAACGCATCATACTTTTATTAGGTTTCTGCCTAGGAGCTCAATGACAGCAAGATTTGCCGATTTTACCTCTGTCTTTACAACCCCTTAGACCTCTGATACCAGACTCCCTGGGACTAAAAGAGTTAACTTTTGCTCCAAAAGATGCCTTCATAGGGTACAGAAATCTACATTTTTTCAGGTACACTTTTTATTCAAGCATTATTGTCAATAATACTACTTATTTATAATTATGTACACGTTGATCCCTTTATAATTCAGTATGGCCGTGGTGTTCTAATGAACAAACAAAATTCATCTGTCAGACTAAGGATCTCAACTAGGGCTTATATTAGGGGTAGGACTTGTCTTAGATAGAGCTGGGGGCGGGGGGATTGAATCTTATTGTTGATAGGGACCCTTTCCACATCACAGGTGCATCAGGCATATGGGGATGTATCTATATCTTTTAATAGACCAATAGGCCCAGAAACCTTCAGTACAGGGACCTTTCCTGTCTGTATGCTCTGTACTTATAAGCAGACATGTATGTGGTCACTAGCTGCATTAGCATAATGTCGACCTAGCCCTAAAATTTGTACCAGGAAATGTTTTGGGAAATAAATATTGCCAGCATCATACTGACCACATGACCCAGCAAGTGTCATTTTATTTATTTAAAAAAACAAAAAAGAATTTCCTAATCACCATTTGCTCACAGTGTCTCATACTATGGAACAGGCCACTTGACATTCATGTGGTCTGTATGTCTGATACCAGTTTGTGTTTATTCCTTTCATGCAGTGATGTTCAATCAAAACAAAACAAAAATTGCATTTTTCAACAGTTGCTCCATACACAGTTGAAAAAGCTCAGCTTGATACGAAGATAGCTTTGGAACATCTGCAGGTGGGACCGCTTTCATCATAGAGGTCGCACACACTGGAGGAGGCAATTAACAGCACAAGATGCATGTTAAGAATTTTTGAGCTTCTGATAAAAATATATGTTTATGTAAAGATGTGAAATGGAAATCTGTTATGATTCTATTTTTACATGAATATTACAAGCAATGTGAGCTTAATTGTTTGATTTTTTTATACGCTTTTCCAGCTTGACATAGTTTTACAGTCATAATGTAGCAGCTCTTTTGCAGATGGTCGCTCTCATCACGGTCTGCCTGAAAGAAACTCTCTCCCCAGCTCTCCCGCCTCATGTACTTTCATATTTAAGGAGTCACTTATATCCTGTGCCCATCTTCATGTTTGTCTGCCCCTGCCCCTCCTTCCTAGTACCATGCGTTCTGCTATTTTTTTTTTCAATTCGTTGTAGCGCTTGAAATGACCAAAATATTTTAGCTTTCGAGACAGGATGCTGTTTATTAGCCAATCTTCCTTGATGCTCAGATCTTTTAAGATGTCAGTATTTCTCCTCTTCTTTGTCCAAGATATTCGGATAATCTCTCTATAGCATTTCAGCTCAAAAACCCCTATTCTCTTTCTTAAGGCCTGATTTCACAGTAGATGTTAACAAAAAATGTTTGGGGCAGGGAAGGGTGAATTACTACTTTCTAATCAAATGTAATATGATGATTACGTAAAAAGGTGAATACGTAATTAAATATGTTTTTGTCAAATATAAAACTACAAGAACAATTACCTAATGGCCAGGACTCAGAAAATGCCTGTCACAAATCACACTTTCCTTGGAATCTGATAGTGTTAAAACAAATGTATCAGGAAGTTCACACTTCTTTTTTGTTTATCTTCTGTATATAATATAAGTGTAGTTTTGTAATCTGTCATTTAACTCATTTAGTCCCAAACAACACACTAAGCGTGACTGGGTATTATTTGGATGTACCAATCAAAATGTTATTATGTATTTACAAATTATGTTTAGTAAAGGGCTCTAAAGAACTCTGAGAACATACCTGTTTCTTGCAAGGGTTGTATATTTGGCTCACCTGGAAGTAGCATATCAATAAATTAAGTATTTCCTTTTGCATTTCCATTCTCAGTGCCCTCAGACATTAGCAGTCTTTGTGGGACTGATTACGTTAATTATCATTTCTTCTTCTTCTTCTGCGTTCGACATCAGTCATGCTAGACATTGAGTCTCGTCTTAGTCACAAATAGGATTGTGCTTTTAAGGTCGCCACCGGTCCCCCATAGCTTCTCTTTCAATGTGGCTCCCTTGGGCCAGACCCACAGTCTTTGCTGGGAGAGGTTAGAGCAGTACTGTAGTATGTGCCCAGGGGTCTGTCTTTCTGCTCCACAATCGCAGGCAGCAGATTCTTTCATGCCTATCCTGTACAGGTGTGCTCGAAGACCACAGTGTTAACTATCATGAAAAGCACCCCCCAGTTAGCCAGAAGTATTGTGGATAATGGGTAATTTTGTCATGTGTGTATAAAGCCTTTGTCTAGTTAATATGACAAAATGTAAACTTTTATATGTAATGCTCAGTATTTTTGTCAGGTCTTGTTGCCACTGTCTCCAGCTCTGATGTTAATGGCAGATGACTATTACAATTTAAAAAGATTTAATGTTTGTTTTTCTTAGCAGTCAGCTTATGTTCAGAAAATATGTAGTAAATTAGCATGTTCTTTCAAGGGCTTACCTAAGGTATTTGGCACCAATAGCACTGGGACGGGGAAGAAAAGCTCTGTTATTTGCATTGGCTTGGCACTTTTGTTTTTTGTGTTAATTTTTTGTTTTGTTCTTTGCTTTTGTGAAACTGTTTTATGGCCTTGTTTCTAAAAAATATAAAAAATAATGTAGTATTTGAGTATAAGCGGATAGTATATTTCAAACAAAAACAACTATAATCAAGGCATTTTTATACAAACACATGTGGCGACACTCATTAAAAAGATTAGAAAAAAATGGGGTACTTACTACAAAGTTTCTATTACAGTTGTGCTAAAACATACATTTAAAAAATGCCAGTACTGCTTATTGTTGCGGACAAAAAAAAATATCCTAATACTAATAGTTTACATACTCTTAAAAGAAAAATATTTTGTTATATTAAAGAATATGCTGGGTACTATATGAGAAAATATGACTTTGTTTAGTCAGACTACGGATCGCAAAATATTGTTTTATCGGAGCGGTGCTGATCAAGGGTAAGTGTTTATATTTTTAGGGCAGTGCTATTCTAAACTTCTTCAGCAATATGAAACTTATCATGACCCATCTAGATAAGACACTACTACTTAAAAAAAATTGATTTATTTTAGGGCTTTCTCTTCAAAGTAGTACCTAGGGCATCTGCGTTACATACCATACCCTAGATCCACCAATCTTTTTCTCTTATTGTATGGAACAAATGTGTTACATTGATTTTACAGTAATAGATGATATATTGTAACCAGAAAGTAGTTTAGAATGATAATTTTTAGAATATGAATGAATATTTATATATAAGAAATTAGTGATTCAGCAATGAAGTCACTAGAATGTTTGAATCAATTACCCATTTGGAGTATAAATCTTTGGCTGAAATAAATAATTGTAAAAAAATGTGAAATCAAACAATGCTAATGAGTTATATGATATAATAATTTTTGTCTATGGTGAAAGTAAAGTAAAAGAGTATTTTTCACACATTTAGGCATATTGGGCATACAGGGCTAGACCTGTACAGACAAATCAGCACTAGGAGGGTCATGCGGTAAACAGAAGGTTCTTTTGTTTTTACATTTCAAATTTATTGAACAGAATGATTTAACATAATATTATTCTGAGAAAGAAGGAGTGAAAGTAACAATTATAGACGTGTGGGTTAATAACAATTGATGTTACACAGAGAGCTATGAAAATGCAGAATGCAGTAAATACATGATGAGTTTTGTGGTAATAATTGAGATAATAAAATGCCCCGTACAGTCTTCATAAGTTTTCAGTAAAACAAACTTGTATTAACAAACTTTCTACCACCAAAAACTGTATGAAGATGTAATAAACTTAAAACTGAATTTTTTTAAACATTAATAAATATGGATGTCTGAGCGTGGAACAGAAGGAGGAAGAACGAGGAGGAGAAGAAATTAGAATTTGATTAATTGCATTGTGTTATCATGTAAGAGAATGTTCATATATTATACATTTTTCTTTTTATGTAGTTTTTGCAAGGATGACTTCTCCCCCTTCTTCCTCATTATTTTTAGCCCTTGAGGTTCATTGCTGCAGAAATCACCCACCTACATTCGTCTCTAGGATTGTCCTTCTCTTTTCAGTTGATGACTCTGAGTGTTTGAAGCTCTGCTTAGCTATTGCCTCTCCGCCATGTTTAATGATGAGAAAGTTTTACAAAGGTGGGGGTGTCAGCCTTTACTTTAACCCCTCAGCTTTGAGGACCAGTGTATCTCTCATTGTCTGTTCTCTATCCTTTGACCTGCCTGACTTAAAATACCCTGCTGGTAGCTATGCTACTGCCTACATAGCTCTCAGGGTCATTGACGGCTACCTAATATTATTTTCAAACTGTAAAAATATATTTTAGCTATTGTGGGTATAATGTTTAGAAATGTAGCATTAAAGGTTAGAAACCAAAAAAAAAATTATCTGTGTGTGTTTTCTTCCTAATGTGTGACTGACTAAACAGGACAGAAAAGAAACCAAATAACTGGTTCTTATATTCTTGAAAGGGAACTAACATCTGTTCATGTTGATATAAAAATAGTAAACTGTTGGATTTGTAAAAATGTGGGCCATATAGTCATCATTGTCATCATGTTGTTTGCCAGATGGTTTAGAAATTCATGCCCTTCTTTAGATGTCAGTCTTTCATTTGATGATCAGTTTTTTTAAAAAAATGGCATTCCTTCATTATAATTGTATTTGCCTTCACAGTTAAGGTTAGCTACAGTGTATCCTTGAATAGGACATACACTGAGAAAACATTCTAGTTATGCTGTTCTCCTGTTTTCTCAGTGTATGTCCTACATACAGTGTATGTAACTAGAATGTCTTTGCATTGGAACCCACAGGGGTATAGGAATAAAGGAAGACCAAAAAACACATGGAGAAGATAGCTGGAGAATGAAGTTAGAAAGATGGGGAGAGCTCAGTGTAATGGCTAAGGATAGAATGACTTGGCGTGAGTTGGTTGAAGGCCTATGCTCCATTGGGAGATAAAAAGGCAGAAAAAGAAGAAGACAGTGTATCTACTGCTGTCTTTGGAAATATTACTTGCTGAGGCCCCAGTTACAGACCAGCAGAAGGCAAGGGGGAAACCACTGCTATATTTTTCTTACTAAATCATGTCTTTAAACAAATTGTCTTCAGACAGTGACGTTAACTGGAGTTCTGCTGGAATCACCTCGTCAGTTAAACGCCTGTTATTCCACATTCATCAGACTACTGAACAGAAAATAAATATCAGGAGCGTCCTAAAAATTGGTAGATGGAATGTCAGAAGTTAAAGGTACAAACAATGTACTCCTACATCCTCAGAACTGTCGGAGAGAGCAAAAGAAGTAAAAACCAATCTGTACCTGTGATTCATTGACTATACAAAAGCAGCTGACTAGGTGAAACATGAGGAAATAATCAAACTAACAGAACAACTGAACATCGATGGAAAAGATCTATGAATAAAAAGAACATCTATTGGCACCAAGCTGCAGCTTTGAGAAATAACAATAACTTTGAAATATTTCAGAGCATAAAATGGGGGAGTATGACAAGCATGTGAACCATCACCTGATCTGTTTTCATAACATGGTAAAATATAAAGAGAGAATCACTGATGTGCCAGGAATTGGGGTGGTGGTCAGAGCATGAACAGCTTACTTCATGTTGATGACACCCTCTTGATCGTGAAAATCAGAACTACAGGGATTAACAGGTGCGGTGGTCATAGAAAGTGATAAAATAGACCTATGTTTGAATAACTGGAAGACAGAAGTCTTGATAATATTA